CGGGAAGTCGGATTCCCACCAGAGACAAGGAAGAGTAAGTGCTGCCTTTTTATATGCCTGGAGGCAGGACATTTTGGGCCTTGCTGCAGCAGCCGTGACAACGCCGAGGAGCGCCGCCAACCCACGCCCGGGGCGGCGGGAGTGGGGGGCGGCCAAGATGTCCGATCAGCCCCGCACCGGCATCAGCACCACCGGCCTCCCACACCCGGCACAAGCCGCCCGCTCGGTCACATGGAGGCTGCCACTTCCTCTGCCCTTGCTTTGCCCTTAGGCCGCGCGGTGCCGCCGGTTGCTCGCCCCGCACGGCGGCTGCGGGCGGGCACCGCCGTCCCCGTCTTGCCCCCCCCGCACACAGGCCCGGCAGAGAGGCGGGGGGGCTGCGGCCGGAGAAGGGCAAGGGCCGGCCGGCTTGCCCGGCTAAAAACAGCCCTCTCCTAATAAAGCGTGGGCCCGTGTCGCGCCCTATAAATACCGCTCGGTGCGGGGGCCCGCGGGCTTTGGCCGGCGCTGCTTCAGCTCGGCGCGGCTTCTGCAGGGGGCGGCTGCAGCGGAGCGCAGCCAAGCGCAGCGGGGCCGCCACTGCCGCCCCCGACCTCTGCCGCCAGGAGTCCCGCCCCCGCACCCCGCCACCCCCAGCGAGATGCCCCGGGTAGACGCGAGACATTCAAGCTGGACTTTAAGATGTCCCTGCTCAGATCTAAAAGGAGCAGCCTCAAAGCCAGATCAGAGGTGGGGCATCCAAACCCAGCATGCTTCCCCCGTTCCCCCCCCCCCCTCTGCAACGGCCTAACTTCCTTAACCCGCCTTCCCTCCCTGCTTTATTTTTTATTTCCCCGGTCTAATGCAGCAGTGCCCTCCCTGATCGAGACGCCCTTTGCGTGGTGCGGGGATGCCGCTGCTCCCAGGAGGACGGGGCTGGGGTTGCGGAGCCCGCGGCGTCTCTCGCCGCGGCCCCGGCGCAGCCGGAGGTGGCGGGCGCTGCAAGCCGCTGTCGCGCCGTCCTCCCCTTCTCCTCAAGTAGAAATATAAGGGGAGCTGTGGGGGATTGTTTGCTCCTATAACAGGTGCCTCTGCGGCGCTGAGCGGGGGGTGACCTCCGGTTTCGGAGGGGGCGGCCGTGAACCGGCGACGCTCTAGGACAAGGGGTGTCCGGTTACCGGCACAGCAGAAGCAAGGGATGCGCCCGGCAGGCAGTATTGCCCTCAGCCTAGGGGACTGAGGACGGTGCTGGTACCGAGTAACGCATGTGCTTGCTCTTATTAAAAAAATAATTGCAGTAAAAACCCGCGAAGACGCTAGGGAGCGCTTCCCAGAGCGCAGGGTGCCACGGGGTGGGATCCTATCATGGAGTGCTCCCATCAAGCGGCATACTAAGGAAAACCCCATCAAACCTGGGGCGGTGGGTGCATTTCACCCTCGCTTGGGCTTAAGCCCCGAGGGATCTGCGAGGGCAGAGCCCGAAGGTCCCCCCGCTGCTGAGGCTGCCCGGGGCTCTGTTCCTGCTAGCCCGGGGCCACTGTTAGCCAGAACAGTGCTGTAATTATTTCTCAGCAGGGATCAGGAAAGACCCCAGAAAATCAATTCCATGAGGATCGATTGCCTCCACAAAAAAAGATGGCTGTCTCAGGATCGAAGGTGCCTTCTCGTTTACCCCAGATAACCCCAAGGTTAACAAAGGATTTACTTCGACTAAAGAAGGAATTATGTTGTGTTGGGGGATGAAAAGAGGATTAAGGTTTTCTCTAGGGGACGCGGAATTGTGAGAGAGAGAGACTGAGGTAGAAAGGGAAAGGGAATTGGGGAGACTGATTATTAGAGGACTGTGACCAGGGATTTTGAGGACAACGACTAAGCAAAACTTTTTTGCCGTTATGAGGTGTAAGATCAGAGAGGCTCTTTAAGTAGAAGGGTAATCTCTGGTGAGTAATTTTTAGTTTACAAAGAACGGTATCCCGGCTGAGTAGCTGACTCCTTATCGTGTGCAATTACTGCTTATAAGGCCTGTGGGTACCTTCCAGCCATTTGTTTGGGGACCTGTGGGTGTCTCCTTAAAATTCACTGTGCTGGCCTGGCAAACAGGTGGAGCTATGCTCCACCGAGTTTGTGGCACATGGCTCCTTCAAGTGCTGTGTTTTGTATATTTAGCTGCGTGCAGGCTGTGGAAAGAAGGACTGCTGGGAAGGGAAAACGATAGGAGGAACATGAGCTGATATGGCAGGGTTGTAACGGGTGGCTATGATGAACTGTTAAAACATTTCAGATGAGAAAAAGTGTGTGTCATGAGGGGGTCAGTGAAAACTGATGAAGGTTAAGAAATTGGACACCATCACTGAGGCTGTGGCAACAGGGATAAACAGTCTGTGAGAGCCAGATCCGAAATGGACAGCCCCAGTCTGCTTCAAAACAAGAATATAAATAAATAGTTCTGGCAGAGGAACAGAGGCAGCATACAACAGTGCCTGTTGCCCAGCAAGCTGCTGCTTTGAAGCTTATATCAGCAAGTGTCTGCTTCTCTGGTGTGAATGCCTCATTTTGCGCAAGGATAGCTTTTTAAGGAGTAGGATTAAGTCAGCTTCTTAGAGAGGCGATCTTGTAGGTTTGCTGTGTTGGTACTTATTTTTGATTCCTTGCACAGTCTTCATTTTCCATGGTTGCTTTCTCTTTTTGAAAAGGTACCAGAAAATTTGATGCTTGGATTCAAGTGTCAAAATTGGTTAAAACAATGATTGGAGTGGGAGAAGCATTATCTGTCTGTGGGGTCTTGGTACTAATGGAGCCTGCTATTCTTCTCTTTGCTGGGCTTACTTCTGCGAGCTGTCCATTACAAGTTCACTAGACAAGTGTCCTGTAGGAAATCATTAATTTAAATTTGTCAATTCAAATAAGTCCAGGGAGCTTTAACAGAATAGTCAAGATCCTTGTACTTTCGTCTGTCAAAGGTCGTCTAGGTAGAAGTTATGAAATACATTTAATTATTTTCTTTCTAAAGAAACTTCTATTGTTGTTGAGCAATCACAGAGTCAGAAGTTATTTTATTGTAACGTATAGAACAGTAAGCTATGGATTAGCTGTTACCACTGAGGAAGGAGACAAAAAGACCATCAGAAGTGCTATTAGTTGTACTAAAGAAAACCTGTTAGACTTGTTAGCTTTTGTGGAAAAACCTAACCATACTAGGATCATTCAGTATGGAGAAGAAGCAGTTGTGGAGGATATACCAGAAGTCCATGAAGTGAGGAATGGAATGGAATGGAAAAGGTGAAACTGAGCAGTGGTTGTATATTGTCTCTCATAAAACAAAAAGAAGCACTAAATGTAATCATCAAGCAAAGGTCATAGTTTTTATACAACATATAACTCATCATTGGTATTTATTGCTATGGGGTATTGGAGAGGCTAAAGGTGTAAAAGACTAAAAAAATTACAAGGCATGTTCTTGCCTCATCTTGTGAGTGTCTATTTTGCTGTCTTTTTTGCTGTCTTTTTTTTAAACATACTCTTATTTCTTTCCTTAAACAAGTATACTTTTAAAACATACTCTCTTTAAACATACTCCTCTCTAAAGTTACTTTGAAAAAGATGTTTTTCCTTTGCAAAACTGTAATGCAGTGCTTCTGGTACTGGTATCTGTGTGGAACTGGTTGTGAGATACTCTTTTTCCCCCCCTCCTTGGTTCTAGTTAATAAATTGCATTGAAAAGGAGTAAGATAAATTAAAATTTTGTAGTTATTTCATACCTACCTTCTTTGTACTATTTTCTAATGTTAGCTATAGCTGAAATTCCCATACGAGTGTTATGTCATCCATGATGGCTGGAGAATTCGACCTCTCTGATAGTAAATGGGAAGAAGAGAGAATCTCCATTAAGATATATCTTAGCTTGTTCACCAAAGTGACCCTTCCCTTATGAGCTTATATAAAACGAGAACCTGATTTACAGTGTATCACTGAGGCACCATGTTCTCTGTCTTAAACGAATCAGTAATAGATCCTGGACTATATTAATCAGAATGTAGCCTGCAATAAGACAATGCTCAAAATGTGTTGTAAATAAATAATCAGAATCCTATAATTTTTATATTGCTTTCTTTCTGGTGATGGATTTCAGTTTGGTTCAGGTCTCCGAATGTTCCTGGGTTAAAGCTGCAGTGAGGAGTATTGAAAACTGTGAAAGAGCCTTTATTTTCACTGTTACTAAAGTAAAATCTTAGAGTTGTGCATTTCTTTTCTTTTCCGTTTTTTTCCTTCCCCCTTCCTTTACATATTTTTCCCCCTTTTGCAAGATGTGAGGTAGACCAGTGGGAACTGATCTAATCTGATAATACCTCTTGCAAATGTAAGGAACAAAATACCTGATGTTATCATGACAATTTGGAGATGCTGAAGAAGAAATAACTTTGAAGGTGAAAGTGGATGTAGTTGTAAAACATTAACTCAGAAACTAGCAGCGTCGTGATTTAGTAAGACAAGGTATGATTGTTCATATTGTGTGACCAGAGTGCTGGTAACCCTGACCAAAAGTAAGAGCATGCTTTATTATATTGTCATTTACATTCAAGGCTGGGACAAAGTCCTCCGTGAGAGAGGGAGTTGTAGTTCTGACTTGTGTGGAGTTAGAACTTCAACTTGGATTTCTCAGGCAGCCAAACAAACAGCTGATTTTACTTCTGGATACAACAATCCACAGTCCTCATTGTCTGTCCTTTCCTTTCCAAACACTTCTGCCTTGTTTCTTTTTTTATTATTATTTTTATTTTGATTCTCTTTTTCATAAGAAAGAACTCTGTGTAACAGAGAAAACATTTTATATTTTCCTTCATATTTGGAAGGCAGAATTTGTAAGAAAATAAATTAAATGATGTAATAGTGGAATGGAAGGAACAAGAGATGTGAGGAAAATGAAAAAGCTGTGTCTAAACTTGCTGTATCTGAAATTTGTGACAAAATTCCTGTTAGATTGCAATCAGTTTCTTAAAAGAATGTGTGTCTGTTCATTGCAGGTTGACCTCACGCGCACCTTCACCTTCCGCAACTCCAAGCAGACGTACACAGGAATTCCCATTATAGTGGCAAACATGGACACTGTGGGGACATTTGAAATGGCCGTGGTTATGGCAAAAGTAAGTCTTGACTCTCATTTCTGCAACAGTTGGGAAGCATCTGGGTGACAGTGAGCAGCCTTTTTTAATTTTTAGCTAAGTTTGTTGGAAAACAGGGGGGCATGAGTTTAAAATTCAGAATGGGAAAAGGCAGCTGTGCTTTTACAGCAACACAGTTACCACAAACAGGGCTCCTGCTATAAGATAGTTTCAGTGGAGATGCTTCCATGCTGGGAAACTTCCATCTTGGATGTAGCTCAGCTTCAGGTGGATCTTCTAGAGCTTAGTATCTGAGGTCTGTTTGTGCTCCCTGCCAGGAAAAAAAAAATAGCTGACAGGTTTTGAAAGTGTGGTTTATTGGATAAAGCTGTAGCAGTTTCTAAGTTAATTAGCCTCTAGCACATTCAAAATACTGATGATAGCTTCATGAAACACATCGTAAACCTGATTCTGAAAGGTTGGTCAAGTATGCCAAGTTACCTTTGAGAAGGTGTTTGGAGTTGCATGATCTGTTATTCACTCTTACTGTTTCTTTCAAGCAGGATGAGCCTGTACTTAAAGGGGGAATTTCTAATGCCTTATTTTGCAGCTGAGGGAAAGATGACTTACTTGGACATTAATATCAGTTTTCTTGTTTTTTGCTAGCATGCAATGTTCACTGCAATTCACAAGCATTATTCTCTGGAAGAATGGAAACTGTTTGCTGCCAATCACCCAGAATGCCTTGAGGTACATTTTTGTACTGTAAATTATTATGGTTTATTGCTTTGTTCTGAACTCACATACACTGGAGTCTCTTGGGAATACTGTTGTCAAGTGAGGTTTTGGGGAATGAAGATATTTGCTGTTCTTAAATTCATGAAGGGAAGTGGCTTGTCCTGATTTAAAAAGAATAGCTATGTGAGTCCATTATGAAAGTGCTTATATTAAGATGTGAAAAAGCAAAGTTTATGTATGCCTGGAATGGAAACAGAGAAATATCCTGAACAAAGAGGAAGAAAATACTTGGGAGTAAGTCTAACTGCTGTGCTTCTGTTGCTGTTTGGAGTGTGGTACTGCACAAATGTGAACAAGTTTGAGTAACCCAGCCACAAGCTGGCCCTGCAAACCCTTGTGCTGGGCAGAGTCTTTGCTATCAGGCGTGCAAGTGAACCTGGAGCCTGTGGACTGGAGGGACCCATGTGCTGGGACCAAGCTGGGATGAGCATTGAAAGTTGTCAGAACATATGTGTCTTCCACTTGTGCCAGAGTTCACTCTGTGCTACTACTGGCTGTGTTACCCCACTTGTTCACAGGGTCCTAGCCTAAGCTATTAGAGAGAACAGGTAAATTTATTTACTGTATTTAAACATATGACTTCTTCATATCCAGATTTCTTCTGTGTTCTTCTGTACCAGAAGAGGCAGTATAAGAGTATGCCTGGCTGTCTCTCCTTCCCCTCGCAGTTCAGTGCAGTTTTGAATCCTTTTCTGTATTGAAAAGAATATCACACAGCCAGCTGTATTCTGTCTTTACCTGTGGCACATTTTAGAATTATATTATAGAGGCTATTGATTACAGGATTGTCTGAAAGCGAGCCTAGCACTTAGCTGAGTCTGGATTACTTACATACCACTACAGGGTAGAAAGTGGTCCCACGAATGTCATGTGTCTGAATGCTGTCTAACTTAACTTATTTGTGGTTCATAATGACCGGAGTAGGATCTCCTAGTGATTAAAGATTGACTTGCTCTGTGACCTTGGATTTCTGGTGAGGCTTTGTGGGCCAACAGCTGTGGAAACTATTCTTCTTTTGGAAAGGACTCATAGGAAGACAAAGGAAGAAGCAATCTGCTTGTTTTCAGCGGTAGCTGACCCTGCTTGAGAAAGGGGATTGGACTGCACAATCTCCAGAAGTCCCTTCCAAACAAAACTATGCTGTGATTCTGTAGATCAAAGGAGTGCTTGGTGAACTTGAAGACACAGATTTTACTCTCTCGACAGTGCCCCAAATTTTGCCACTCTGATTTTCTGTAAATATACCAAGTTAGGGCTTCTTCCTTGTTTGTTTAATATGAGCATGGCTGAACCTTCGTTCACCTCAGCTGATTAAATAACAACTTGTTAATGAAAAGCTGATAAATGCTAATTTCCCTTTATTGTATATACTTTAAACAAAACAGAAATAACACATTGATATTCCCAGAAAGGTATTTATTTCATATTATATGTTGTGAGTTTCACTAGTTTCTATGACTATGCAGAAAAAGGCATATGAATTGTGTCTGTTTATCCCAGTTTTTGCAACCTACTACTCCATTTTGTTCTCCCTGTCTTTTTCTAGCATGTCGCAGCAAGCTCAGGTAGTGGAAAAGCTGATTTGGACAAGTTAAAAAGTATTCTAGAGGCCATTCCACTTATCAGATACATCTGCCTGGATGTGGCAAATGGCTATTCAGAGCACTTTGTGGAGTTTGTGAAGTGTGTCCGTGCCCTGTTCCCACATCACACCATTATGGTAAGTGTGTAGAAAGGGTGGAAGGGGTGTGTGTGTTTGTGAATTCTGTCCAGGAACAGGACCCAGAGTTTGATTGATAGGCATCAGAAGCTAGAAAAGGAAGGGAAGGAAGGAAGGATGTTTCATAATGAGTTGGCATTGTCCATCTTCCATTGCTGATAATTTCTGTGGGAATTATTGGTGCGTGCTCAGTCTGATGTTGGCATCGCAGGCTGTGTGGATCCAATTTTTTCCCTGCTCGTGTCCTCCTTCCCACACCAGATGAGACCTCTAATCACAAAGTGTGTAGGTTTATTTTGGTGATTCCAAGCAGAGGTTTGCTGTGGGAATATGCCAATGGTTCTGGCCAATTGAGGTCAATGGTTGTTTTTGTCTGTTATATCACTATGAAGACAGCTGAATGTAGACTGATCCTTGCCCATGATAAGAATCGTAGGGGTGTTGTGCAGTTGTGAATGGGATTGTCAGAGTGTAAAATGGTCAGTGCTGGGGCTTTTCGTGTGCTTTTTGTGACATTATATCCCATCTCAGTGCTAATGCCATGCTTCCTTCAGCCCTTTTGCACTAGGAGTAGAGTGTTTGCATTGACATGGAACTCCTTGCAGCAGAGTGCTACTGCTTCTTTCCCAGGGCCCTTAAAGAAATGTGCCTGAATTTGGTTCCTTGAGAATAGCAGAAATTCTCAAACAAGCAGCAGATTCGTAATGAGGCTACCAACCTTTCTTCAAGCCAGCACGGCAAAAAAATCCTGTGTTTAGGCAACATTTTCTCACTTTTCCATGCCAGACACAAAGCTGCATGTAAAGTAAATTGAAGTAAAAATTGTTATAAATGCACATTCTGCCTGGGGTTAATAGGGAATGACATGCTCCAGCAGCTCAGGGGAGACCACGTTCTTTCTCTCATATTGAAGGAAGGCAGTGTTCTTGCCACTGAATGATGGTGGCATTGGAAAATGGAAGTAGGCTAGAATACCTGTTGGACTCTGGGTTATCATAGGCTAATGAATAGGCATCCTTCAAAGTTACCAAGAGACACATTTTGGTATGCACTCATAGCTTTGGACATCCATTTCCCATGTCTTCGGAGAGAGATTTTGGAACTACGAAGTGATAGATGTGGGCTTTTTGAGCTTCCTGCTTCATGTTCACTGCAGTGAGGCAAGAGGCTGTTTCCTTGCTTTGGATCTGAAGTATTTTCCTCTGTGACATGATTACTCCAGAGTCTTTGACTTGAAGAGTTGTGGGAGGGAGCTTAAACCACATAGTTAAAAAAAAAGATCTTCGCTATGAGCCGTGGAAAGAAAACTGTGTGTCATGCCCTCCTCCACCTCCCCACGGACTGCTGACTCTGCCGACTGAGGACGGAACTCCACCAAGATGAATTGCCCAGAAGACACAGGAGGTCAATGTCAAAGTCAGGTATCGAGCCCAGATTTTAGACCAGAGTTCTTAAGCCAGTCTCATCCACCCCCCATGTCTGTTCAACTGCCTTCCTAATGTCTGCTTCTGTGACTGAGGTTATTGATACTTCGGGTCTCATTGTCCTGAGAGCACCACCTGCTTGAACACATACACAGCCCTGACCTGTTCAGTTGCTTTGTCTGATTGTAGTTCCTTTCTCTGAACATGGTTTAATATGGCTTATGTTTTTCATCTGCATAGCAATAATTTCCATTCCTAAAAGCATACTAACCAACTTGAGGTGTTCAAAAATCTTCAGTTTTCCAAAGCCACCAGAGTCTGTGCAGTCCCTGAAAGCCTGTGATTCAACTAAGGATGGACATCTCTACCCTGCCTTCAAATGACTTGACTTTAAAAGCTGTTCCTGGCTGAAATACAGGAGCTGGTCTAGGCTCCTTTTTATGATACTCTGGAAGACATGTCCTGCTGCTACCTGTTCTGACTGATGTCTCTGTGCTATGCCTGCAGTATGTTCTCTGCTGTTGTGGCTTTCAAACAAAAGGATTAGCAGTTAAATAGGAGGTATAAAAATAAAGAAGGTTTCTCATAGCTGAAAGTGATCTCCAAGACCTTGTAGGCTGTCTTGTTTGCTTTCCTCAGCATGACCATTCATTCCACAGTCAGCTGCAATGCAATACATAACAGTAACTCAATCCTGGGTCTCACGGAATGTGTGTTCCCAGGGGCCATGTAATGGGTTCAGCTCTGAGGTTGAAAGGTGATGTGCAAAGCAGCTGTGGTTAATGTGGCCAATACTCCAGTGCAGATGGAGGATGTCTCTTGTGTAACAACCTTTCAAATGCATGTTTTTGTCTTTTTAAACACTGGTTTTGCTAATCACATTGCCTTATTTTCTTCTGCCTGGCTCTGACACAAAATTTTTTCATTCCTGCATTTTGTACTAATTTACAAAGAAGATCAGTTTCTCCATGGAACAGAAAGGGAAGGGAAGACAGATGGGCACAAAGGTACAACATGACTTGCCTTAAGTCACTCATTAGATTGAGAATGGGGGAAGAAGCAAGTCTTCTGACTGTCTCCCAAATGCAGGACTGCCTCCAAGAATCAGGAGTAATGGTCCATTGGGGAGTTTTGCTGTTGCACATTGTCATGTGCATCAATTGTGCCCACTTGCTGAAGTCTAAAGAAAAATTTCATTCGACATTCATGATGGAGAATCAGAGCCAGAGCCTTTATATTACAGGAAACAGAGTCCTTATTTAGTAGTGTAATTGTAGATGTTAGGGTTATTCCATCTCACTGAAATTCGGTTTAGAAAGCTAAGAGTTTTTTGCCAGCAAGGTTTGCCAAGTTTTTTCCAGAAGTTTTCTTTTTGTAGTGTTTTCTGTTCTTTATACAGAAGAAAGCCCGAGGGGAGCAGGGAGTGTGGCAGGAAGAAGAAGGCTGGGGCAGGACCACACTTGCAGATACAGTAGCACCAACAAGATATGGGCCAGAGAAGGATGAAAGCAGAACGGCAAAAGCAGCAGCAGAGGGAAACAGCAGGAGCCAGAAACTGTTGCTCCCCCTTGGAGTCAGTAGAACTTCTCAGGGCCTTAGTGGAGACAGAATTCAGTCAGAGAAAGCCATGCAGGCTGCTCCCAGTTTATCTTCGGAACATGCAGCAGAGTAAATCCAGTCACGGCATGTCCACCAGGGCTGGAGTCTCAGAACAGGGGCCAGGTGGGATCCCAGGGTAGGAGACAATGATGCTGCTGAGCCTGTCTTGGGTCCGTTACAAAACTGCGTGCAAACACCCACCAAGTGTGGCTCAGCCTCACAAAGGGCATCATCCCTCCATCTGATGGTAAAGCACCCCTTGCTTTGGTGGGTGGTAAGTGTCCTTTGGCCGTCTTCCTGATAGCATGGAGGCACAGACTGTGCTTTCCTCTAGGATACAAGAAGAAAGTTTGAGAACTGTTGTCACAGACACTTCTCCCCAGCTTGATCCATTGCCATTTGCCAGCAGCTTTCAATCAGTGCAGCAGTGTTCCTGTCTTAGTCAGTATGAGTCGATATTTATAGCAGGCTTTTATGAGGCACAGTATCAAATGCCTGACTGAAATTCAGAAGCTCTGCCCTACTATGTTCACTGATTTTGTATCCCTGTCAGAGAAGCCGTAGTCTTTATAATCCTGTTAGGTGAAATCTTGATCTCATTAAAGTCAGTACGGAAACTCCTTATGACTTTTCTGAGGCCAGGATTTCCCCCAGGACTGACCCACAGTTCAGTCATCCTGGATAGTGCTGGAATGATCTAGGGTGGCACTCACATGAAACCTCACACTGAGTGATGGTATATCTGAATGTCACCCTGATTGTATAGGAACAGGCCCACAGCCAGGGTAATTTCTTGTAGCCCCTAACAAGTGACCCCACTTGAAGGCATGGCGCTTTACCTGACTTTTGGTTGTTACTGATGCTGTTATTTTACTGACAGGGTAGCAAAGTTAGATTAGCAGTGAGGTAATTACTGGGTTATATCTCTTTCAAGAAAGCCAGTTCTGCAGCAGATTAGAAATGCATTGGTACATGGACTCATCATTAAGATGAGCATGGTTTTCAGTATACACAAAATATGTATACAGTGGTTGCACCAATTGCTATGTTCCCTGACTGCTTGTGCAAATATACTACAAAATGCATTGTCTGTAGTGACTTCTTTGTACAAGTTCCAATTGCTTTACTTGCTTTATATTCTTAATTAATTTTAAGAGGGTTTCATCTCTGTAGTCTAGTCTTTTTATATTGACCTTTTCAGATCTTTTTTTCAGTTCAAGTATTTTGGCCTTACCTTGAAGATGTAAAAGGCCAAAAGGCCTTTTGCCTTTATTCGCTGTTGTACTAGCATGAGTGGTAAACCGAGCATTGGTTTCAGTGAAAGCAGAGTTCAGCTGGATGTGAGAAAACAGCTTTCACTGTTCTTCAGCTGTGATACCAGGGCCTCTTCACAGATAGCCGTGCCTCTGTCATAGCGGTCTTTTTGTGCTCTTTGAGGTCTGCAAAAGGTACTAAAAGAAGCAAGCCTGTAACTGGCAGGTTGAAGTCTGCTATGTAGAGCTCCATGTCTTCCTTGAAAATTTGTTAAGGATCTGCAGATTCAGAAAGACAGAAATCACTAATGTGTGTACATGCATTCCAGGAAAAAATGTATGCTGGGGACATAAGTGCTTTTCCCTGCTAGGATGAGCATTTTGAATCAACATATGCAGTTCCAACATTCTCTAGCAGTAACTTAACAGTAAACGTCTGGTTAGCATTTCTAAAGAGACAGTTTGACAGCCCTCTACGCTCTGCTAATAAGAAGACACTGCTGTTTAAGTTAAATACATATTTGATCCCAAATCTCATGGAATACGTACTCATTCCTGTTTATGCATCACTTTTCCACGTACTCCAGTATTTCACCGAGTTTTAATGTGCTGTTTGTGGTACAGCACAGGGAGTCATCTGCCTTCCAGATGTAAACTGCTTCCTTAATGCTGTAGGCAGCATGCTCTCTGTCACCCCACCTTGGAGGGTACAGCACTTAGTATAACAAATTACCACTGAGCAGAAAGGAAGCAGCACTTAGCTAGAGACACTGTACCTATTTTATATTTTTTATTTCCTGACTCTTCTATTTTATTTTATTTTTAATCAATACCATGCTGGTTTGAGCAAAGTTAAGTGTTCCTGTGTCATAGACCACAAATTGCTGCCTTACGGTATCATTGTTTTTTTAAGTGCTTCAGGTGGTAGCTTGTCAGCTGTTTCAGGCTAATAAAAGGGGGAAGTAAAATTCAGTAAAAATAAATAAGTGGTGAAATAGGAGCCAAAAATCAGTAAGTGGAGAATAAGCCTCACCCAGCATTTCCTGGGTAGCTCCTGTTGACTTCAGCAGGAGTTTTGTTTCAATAAAACTAAGAAAATACTAAGTAAGGATTTTAGGATTTGCCTCCTACTCTGCCCAAATCACTGCTTCTACAAACACTTGCTAAGTCCAGTAGTAACATCTCTAGGTCCTAAATTCAGATCTCCACAAATGAATAGTCCATTTTGGTACAAGTGCAAAACAGGAGATGTGAGCAACCAGACTCCTGTTTCAGGGAGATTTATTTTGTGCAGTTTTTCTAGTTAGGAACGTGCTGTAGACATGAGACAAGCCACAGAGCTGAAATTGAAACCAAACTTGTTTTACGCATGTCTGATGGGATGATGGGCCTCATGGGATTCATCCCAGAGTACTGAAGGAGCTAGGAGATATTTGAGCAGGACCCCTCTCAATCACCTACCAAAGGTCTTGGGAGTCTGGGGAGATTTCTGCTGACCAAAAGCTAGCCAACATTCTTCCAGTTTACAAGAAGGGTATGAGGCAGGACCCAGGAAGCCAAACACTGAGAGGTGTGGGGCATTGCCCATCTCCCTAGGAAGCCTATTCCACTCTTTCGGTTAAGAACTGATTCATCATGTCAAGTCTGAACCTCCCCTGAGGAACACATCTATCCTGTCATTGGATCCCTGAGAGAAGTCAGCATCTCCCTCTGCACTTCCCCTCCTCAGGAAGCTGTAGTGAGCAATGAGGTCACCCCTTAGGCACCTTCTCTGCAAGCTAGACAAACCCAGTGTCCTCATCCACTCCTCACAGGATGTACCTTCCAGCCCTGTCACCTTGTCGCCAGTTTTGTTACCCTCCTCTGGCACATTTAAAGCCTTTCACATCCTTCTTAAATTGTGGGGTGCAATTTACAGGATTGCATTCCCATACAGTGTTCCCTCAGAGTATGGGAATGCAATTAGTACAGCTAGAGTGAGTCATTTCAGGATGTGCTGTGTCAGCATTCATTTGCTTTATGCAGCCCTTTGCAGAGAGAGGAGAGCATGGTCTGAAAATGTACTGGCTAACGGTATGTTTTCAAGCATAACTCAAAGCATAGGTTTTAGCTCATAAATCCTCTTTGAGTAGGATTCAAATGTCATTTGAAATCTTTGCTCCTTGAAGACTGTCTTTTTCCTGAAAGTCTTTTGGACGGAGGACACTCCTGGCAAGGGAATTAATCTCTAGCTTCACTCTGACTGCTGATCCATCAGATCCACATTTGGACACATGAAAGGGCCTGTGTTGTCTCACTGTGCTTGCATCAAAATGTTTCTTTAACTGAATAGACATAGACTGGTAGCTTTCTGCACTTATTACACCAGTTTTGCAAGCTAATTAGTAAGTATGTGCTAAAAGGTTGTTTCAAGGACAAAAAGTTCCTTCGTATCTGAATAATGTCATCAGTAATTTCATTGCATTGACATTCTCAGGTGTTTTCAGATGGATGTATAAAAAGCAAAATCCTCAGTCCCTACAGGCGTGTAGGTAGGGACTCTGAAAAAGAGACAGTTGCCTTTTAGTATTGGCTACCTGGCCAGCCAGCTCCTTACTGACAGCACAATTAGTAGCCTTCCTCTTTACTAAATACTTGCAGAATTAATTTAAAATCCCAGTGACCTACATTCACACTGCTGGAGAGTAAGACAGCCCCACAGGCAGCAGTGCCATGAACTACATTGCACTGACCCATCAGTGTTTCAGCTTTTGGGCCGATTTGGCATTTTCATCAAGGAAACATCCCAAGTGGAAGCTCAGTTAATGCCAGTTGTGGTTATTTCCTTTCCTAGGAGGAAACACCCATTTCTAAAGTGACCAGGTTGACACCATTAGCTTCATGTTCATCCAGCTTATCCAGCCAGTGAAGGGGTAGATCTGCTGGTTGTGACTGTGTGGAGCTGGACTCCAGCAGTCTTCTGATGGGTGAAAGCCTCATTAACACATCTCTCAGGCTTGACCATTCATGCTTTGATGTCAGCAAATGTATGAAAGAATGACATTCACAGTCAGGTCTTTTGAATTTAGACCATTGTTCAAGAAATGTAGGTTTCTTTGTTGTGACATCCCACTTGTCCACTTCATATTCTGGATTTCACAGCATCCATGGACTAGGAAGATCTATATCTCATGGTATATTACTACATAACAGGTAACACAATGTCAGTGCCATGAGTTTCTGCTACAGTTTGGAAACACTGGAGTAGATCAATGTTCTGGAAGCATGAATAGATCACAAGGTGACTATGACCCACCAGTGTGACATGGGCAAATGTGTTCTGTGTGTGTCAGGCAAGATACTTCCATAGAAAAGGCAAGCATTGTGCAAAGCTCTGGTGAGATCTCAGCTGTACCCCTGTGGACAGTTCTCATTCCTCAGGTCAGTCTGGTATGAAGGCAAACAAAGACTAAGCAGTTGATTAGGTACAGGGAGAGCCTAAAGAAGAAGATTAGTAGAAGAAGCAAGACAAAGGCTGAGAGGGCTGCCATCTCTTTCAACAAATGTATCAAGGATGCAGGCCAAAGGAGGAAAAGAGCTATTGAAGTGCAAGGAAAAATATGGTAAAGAACACAAACCAATTCAGAACTTCTTTCAAAGAAGAAGATGTCAGCCTAGACAGGATGCTTTCTGTATCTCTGCAAAGTTCATGCACAGAGAGCCAAACCCCTTTTATCACTTCTGGCATCACCACAACCAAATGAATATATGTGGTAAAAATGGTGTTATTTACCTAGTCTACATATGCATACCAATTTTGGCACTAATGTACAAAATTACAGGAACAGTATCTTACTTGCTCTTCCAGTACACAAAATACTCAATCCTAAAGGAAAAAGAGATTTTCCAGGATTTTAAACAAGATCTGAACATCTTCCCACAAAGCGAGGTAGGCAAACGGCATAGAGAGGGCTACAGGCTGTTTAGGAGAGATAAGCAGGGCAAGAGAGGTGGACTGGTTGCACTGTATATAAGGGAGAAGTATAGCCTGTATGGTTAGGGATGATGTGGCTGAGAGCCTCTGTGTGAGGACTAGAGGGATGGACGACAAAGTGGATGTCCTAATGGGATCCTAAGGATCAGGGTTTACTGGAGCAATCATTAAATTTGTTTGACTTGAGGATTTACCTGTATGATTGCTTTAATCTCTGTGGTGTGTGCAATGAGCGGTATGGTGAACTATATTCTTCCTTACTCTGTGCAGTTAAACTTGTAAAAGCCCTGAATAAAACTTTACATTATTGTCATTAATCTTCACTGCAGCAGTCCTGAAATCTCCTATACATGTGATCTTGTTCCTTCTGTCTAGGCAGGCAATGTAGTGACAGGAGAGATGGTAGAAGAACTTATTCTTTCCGGAGCAGATATTATTAAAGTGGGTATTGGACCAGGTAAGTCAAATAAGGGTGATTTTTGGTAACAATTGGAGGAGTTTTCTGGATGGAACCAATGTATAATACTGTTTTTTTGCTTGTTAGCATGCCTAGATCCACTCAGGTCAATAAAACACTAGTGCCCTTGCACAGAATATATTTAAGAAATACGTGGATAGGGTGCTAGTGTTTTGTACTGCAAAGTGTTACATATTGCACCTTCAGTCAGTGAAGATGCTTATTATTGGAAACACTGAGCTGTCTGAGCTCCTGACGTTATCACTGATAACACGTGTTGTGTTTAGGAACACTTTTCTAGCCTGTTGAAAAGAGGCTCTCATCCCAGCTAAAGCTCAAAGGATACTGTGTTCAGGTATCCACTTCTATCAAGGAAAGATGGGTTTCTAAATAGTTTTATGATTTGTGTTCTGTGAAGCTGACGTTGCCCATCTTGTCAGTGTCTTCAAAGATGAAATGGCATTAATTGTAAAGTATGGATAACATTGCTTCTACCTGTTATTATTGCCTGGGAGCTAAAATTTACATTAATGCACTTATATGCTATCTATCACTCTAACATTCTCGTGGATAAATAAGGGGACCCTAAACTTCTTACAGTGTTTTGCCTATCTTCTCTTCCCTAATATTGTTTTCTGGCATACACTGCCATATTCTTTCCTTTGTTTTTTTTCCCTTTCCCATGCCTTTCTTCATGTGTTTCTTCATAGTCTGCAGCTGGAGTCACCATATGTGGGCTAGATTTTAAAGTGGCTAACAGAAATGCCACTGACAGTATAGCCAGTGCAGTGCAGACAGATTGTTTACTCTGCAATGCCAAATAGTTCTGGTCCATGAATGGATAACTTGAGCAGAGAAAATCATGTAATAAAGGTTACAGTTTTGCCTGGGAAGACAGCAAACAATAAGTACTGCAAAACACATGATGAATAAACAATGGAGATGTCATGGTGTAATTGTCACAGTCAAATTTAGATTTAAAAGAAGCATAATTATAGTTTGTAGACTCAAACAAGGCAATATGAGTAAATGCCGTATAATCCTCCCTGGAGATCTTCCTGAACAGGTCTCTACAAGTTTACTACCCAAACCCACAAGTAACAAATGTTCCTCCCTCAGGTCTCAAGGCTCTTTTCCAGATAATGGTCCATCCTGTTGAAAATGGCAGTGATTTATCATAAAGCATTACATACACTATAAAGTACATGCCCTGTGGAGACTATAGTGAAACTAATTTTCTTCCTACTTTGCAGGAATTCTTCTCGCTGTTTTCACTTTGTCAGTTCTTTGCAGGATCTTTGGGAACTTTTACTTTACTGGTGGCTTGAGTATACGTGGATATCAGCTGGGTGAAGGGATCCAGATTTACTGCATTTGGTTTAGAATCTGATTTTAAATTCTTGTTACTCTAAATTATAGGACCTAGGCTGGCAAAAAGCAGTCCTCATTTTGACTTTTAATTTGAGGAGAAAAATAGAGAAGATATTCCAAAAGATCTATAGCCATGTTACTGCTTTCTGATGACTACTTATCTCACTTTATAAATGCTATATGCTGAAGTTTTTTTATATTCCCAAATACTGCAATCAGCCAAATATTTCTGCTTTAAGTATTAGCCAAAAGAGGAGTTTCTCTCCCTTGAGGAAAATCATCATCATCAAAAAAAAAAAAGAGAAGTACAGATTTTCCTTGAGAATTATTTTTACAAACATGTAGAAAAGAGATAGAAATATTTGTTGGAAGAAATACTCAAGTATTAAATGTTGCTGCCGAGTCTCCTGGGTTGTGACTCTGGTCCTTTTGCCCCCTTCCCTGCAGGCTCCTCTGACAGATTTACTTTCTTATGATGCAGTAATTCCCTCACTGAGAAGCATTACCAATGAGACCTAAACTGGGACTTGCCCTGCAGAAGAAAGGGGGATATTGGTCTCCTCAATCACAGCTCCCATGAAGTGGTATTGATAGCATTTCAAAATTCAAGTTCCTCCGTGTGTTCCTTTTATCTGTGAGAAACCAGCATTGGCAATAGTGACTTCTTGAGAGAAAAACAATACCGGTAGAAACACATTTTTTCTGTATTTCTTCTGTCATCCTAATGGGTTGTGTTTATTCCTCTCATTCTCTTGTCTAGGTTCTGTATGTACCACTCGGATTAAGACAGGGGTGGGCTATCCACAGCTAAGTGCTGTTATTGAGTGTGCAGACTCAGCACATGGCTTGAAAGGACATATCATCTCTGTAAGTAACTATCATCTACTCTCAGATTCCCACAGTGCAAATCGTTGTGGAATAGGAGAATCAGACAGTCTAGTACCTTGCATGTTAAAAGGCTATCCTTCTGTCCAGTTGATCCCTGCAGTAGCTCCTAGGATAGTCAGTGGCAATCTAGATGTAAAGAAACTGACTCCCTTTAATGCTAAAAAGACATGGTCACCTCACTCCTGTTTGTGCCTTTGGAAATCTGCTTCTTGCTCTCTGAACAGAGTAAACTGTTATTGGAACAAAGTAGGACGCTTGATAGTGTTTTCACATTGAAGCAAACAGTAATTCCTATGAAAGATTTCTGAAAAAGGAGTGGAATGTAAACAGGGCTTTCCCCAGAGAGTGGGACTGAGGGGCAGGCAGGCAATAGAGGGAATTACAAGGTAAAATGATACGAGCCCATCTGTGCCCTAGTTGGATTGATTCAGATGGCATCCTCACAGAGCTCTCTGTACAGGTACAGGAGTGTTTGACATGGTTCTTTTGAGCACGGCTGGCACGTGAGCCTCTTACGTTCTCACATAAGCTCTGGGGAAATAACAAGCCTGTGGAGAAAATAGAGCACTTATCTGTACTGTCTGCTAATGGCAGTTCCCACTCTACCAGCAAGACCAGATTCACCTCACAGAGAAAAAGTAAATCTGTAAGCATGACTTTATACTGAGCTGGACTGCAGTCTGCAGCACTCAAGAGTCCATGTGTGCTTAGGCAGCCCCAGCCAGTCAGTGTGTCCCTGACCATGTGAGGCTTGCATGGTCTCTGCAGGCTGGCTGTAAGGTAGCTGGTCATCAGGAAGGCACAGAGGCTAACCTGTGTGCTGTGCTCACAGCTGTCCTCATAGTCAGCAGCCTCCCTCTGCGGCCCTAGAACAGACCACACTGAATTTTAGATCTGCTGCCAGGTGAATTCGCTGAAAGGCCCTGGTTTGTTTGACCCAGTTGGGACTAGTATCCATGTGAGGAAAGAGGTGTGGTAGTGTTGAGGAAGGAGGGGAAAGGAAAACCTACTGACTGGGGATTTGCATGTATCTCTTGGAGGTGTGGGTATAATGGAGCAGGAACACGTTACAGTTAGATCTCTCTTGCTCTTTATTGTTAATGCATGTACATTCCCTCCTCTCCATGATCCTCTATATGAATTTTGTAGAAAAAAAAGAAAAGCAGTCTGTGATTTTTATGACTTGGGCAGTATTACAAATGTTTATGTCTAAAGCAGAGAGCAGAACATGTGTGCAACAGAGCATGAAAGACTGACTCGTTTCTATGAAGGCTGGATAAGTACAGGTGTCATCCTAGCAGTGGTGCTCAGAGACCCATCCTAGTTTTGCAATAATCATTTTCTGCTAGCAGCCCTCAGAAGAATGCTATCCTGATTTTACAAAAAAACGGAGTGTGTGTTTAGACTGTTGAAAAAATAGATGGTTCTCTACTACTTCTCCTTTCCAGCTTTGGGGATGGATCAGTTCCTGACCTGCTTAGGTCATGTTGGCTTCCATGAGCTCACACCTATCAACCCCCTAGACATTGTGAGGCAATATAAGAGGGAAATTTAATACCTGTCTCCTACAACATCTGGGCCAAGAGAAGTACCTTCAGCTGCAGCTGAGGTCTCTAACACCACTGCAACTCAACTCTGTCACCCAAGCTAGGGAGAGCAAAGCAAGGGTAGGGACATGCCTGAATTCTGGAGCGTTCAGATAGGTATTGGTATGTTTACTGTGGAAAGAAAAGGCTGGACTTCATGTTTGTTGCCGGAGCTCTGGCAGGAATATCACGGAAGAGAGGTATCCTCATGAGGGAAAAACACCATATGGCAGAAATCCTAAGTATAGAACTGGGTCTAGTTGCAACAAGTATACATGGCATCCCTCAAAATGTCTCACTTTTGTCTTTCTGGGGATTCAGGAAGGGGCATACCTTACCTGAGCCAAAAGAGATCACTGCAGGCAGCTATCTATGTCAGTTTGTCAAGAGAAAATGTGTCCAGCAGGTTTTTTTACATTGATACAGAAGTAGCAGGAACGATGTGAAGCTAGCTTCATGTAGATTATAGCTAATGGTGTGATGTGGTCCCTTGAGGCACTTTCTTGTATCCACTTCTGTCTTGTCCAGTACCTTTGCCGAATTGCTCCTCTTTCTTGTTGTGTTGGCTCAACTTCCATATGAAGGAAAAGAAGTCTCACTCTTGGAATGAGAAAGTCATGGTGCTGAGCACAGTACAGGCACTGCAAGGAAAATGACATGACTGAACCCTATTCTTCAGTAGCTCTGCTAGGATGGGAGCACAAACTGGGATTTTAAACAGTCATATTACTGAAGTGATCATGTGTGATTTTTGGAACTGATACGTTGACAAAAAAGGTGACAATTTTCAGGCAAACATGATAGTCCAAGTGAACGCCTGGTGTCTCTCTAGTCACTTACACAGAAAAGGGGAGAGGTAAAATTGCACCAGTTACTTTCCTCATGCTAAATTATCTGTAAGACTCAAAGCTCACCTCAGAAATGAATCTTTCATGACTCGCTGAAAGCAGAGAGGAAACCCTGTCTAAGATACAGGCACTGTTTCTGTCCCATACTGTTTGTCTGGGTGCCAGTAGTCTCAATTTTCATTCTCACTAATCTATCGGCCTTGAGAAAGTGCAACAGTGAGTTACAGTGGAGGGGCCACATAGTAGGAAAGCTCCTTCAGCAACACCCTGCTTGAGATAAAGTTTCTGTTCCTTGTAGGTCAGAGAACTCTGCTGGACAGAGAGGTAGTCACATGTTCCAGTAAGACAGTAATTTGGGCAATGGAAAGCAGCCTTACATGTGTCCTCTCTCATTTGGCTATCATTTGATAGAGATCCCTGTTTCCCCTTCACGCTGCCAGGGCGATGGGTCACCAGCACTCAGTGAAAAGAATGACTCACCCAGCCATACCATCTCTTCTTCCACACAGAACACTTTCCACACAGAAATATGCCCAGTGTTTTTTGTTCGCTCAGCCTAAATGTTCTTGCTGCAAAAATGGCTTGCCTGTCTGGAGAACAAACCTGGGGACTATAACGTTATTTTAGTCATATTAAAATAGTTCTGTTGACTGGAAAGGTGCTTTCACCTTTCCTTCTTCCTAGCACCCAGTTGCCTCAGAATCATGCCCTCTACTGGCTCCATGATCACCCTTTCCAGTAGGCTTTCTTCAGAATTTTACCAGTTCTCCTGAATTCAGAAGTGGATTTGTACAGATAAATTTCCGCAGAGTTCTGAGGTAGAGGCTGAGCCTGCAATAAGCTCCATAACTGAAGCCCAGCAGTTTGCAAGTCATTTTGAATCCAGACCCAGGCCCCTATTGGGACAGGCTGAATTGCAGGGGGAAGCTTCCCAGGCAATGCAGCAGCAGAACAGTCTTACTTTCTAAACAGAGTACCTGATTTCTCACTCAGAATGAAGTGTTTTAATGCATGTAGCTATATTAAACAGCATCTTCTGACATAACTGCTTAGTATGTTCCCTTTTTGTTTCCCTTTCTGTGAATCACTAAATTTACCTGGTTATGTGAAATAAGTGGAGACATCTATAGATAAAGAAGTGGTATGAATCATCATTGTCAGTTCCTTTTATCTTAAATGGTAATTCATGAGCTTTTGGCCAAGTCTCTTAAGCTGCTCAGCATTTTGTAATTTGGCGACATTCAAAGTGATATTTTTTGAAGCAGATGATTAATGATTACACATTAAGGCCTCCATCCCTAAGCGTAAAACCTCCACCACTGCCACTTCTGGGTTAATTATAAAAGTCAGACACTGAGCCACCCAACAACAACAGACTGAAACCCATCTACCAGAGAGCATTCATGGCCAGCATCTCTCAGACAGTAAGTCAGGTGCAGATTCCTGACGCTACTCTTTGAAGATTATTAGACCCTTCTTTCTACCTCGGCTTTTCTTCCCCTGACACATGCACATGCACTCACACCCTCCTCCAGGCTCTGACAGACTTGTCAGAGGGAAAGAATTGCACAAGCAGAGCCCTTAACAGGAGAGAGAGATTCAGCTGTCAGCCCAGCATTTCTTTCTGGAGCTGACAGCGAGGGTGTCTAAGCTCAACAAAAGGCATAATGTGCTAGAGGTTATCAGCAAATGGAATAAAAGCCTTCAGAGTTCTACCAGGTGCTGTTTGCAGTGGGATGCCCTTTGAAAAGCCACTCACTTTTGGATCCACCTGCTCAGTTTGTGTCTGAATCCTTTTCTGGGCAGAGTGTCTAACCTGCAGCCCTGCTGCCAGCTACCCACGAAAGACAGCCCTAATATGGCTGATGGTGGGGGTGTCTGGCTGTGCTCAGCTGCAGGTCTTACATAGGCATGCATTTCTGCCAACAGAGAGGTGAAATAAAATAAAGTAACTATACAGTCTGGGGTGTAGCTTCAAAATCAGGAAAGCTGTCAGCAGTCTGTAATGGATCCTGATCATCAAAGGAGTGGGGAGCCCTCCTGGTACAATGACTGTGTGGAGTAGAAGGATCTTTCATCTGGTGCTCAGGCCTTTATAAAGCCTAAAGAACCATGGCACACGATGAGCTCTGCTGTGTGCCATTCCTTTTTTACAGCTCTGTCACACATACATAGCTTCCCTCCCCTCAACCGAAACCCCTAAATCAGCCATTTCTTTGCTCTGCACTGAAACTGAAATGCGTAGGTATAAAATGCTAAAGATCTAAAGTGCTTCTGTTTCCTTACCAAACCCATAGCAAACAGTGAGGAGTAGGATGAGAGATTCATTTTCACTTACCAAAGATTAGATTAACCAGTTTTCTTAGATACTATCAGATAAAAATCCAACACAGTTGATGGTAAGTTCCCTCACCCCTCCCCCTGTGACCTTTTAGTGTGTTGTAAACTGCTGAGAAAGTTATTTTAAATGTCTTTGGTGGTTTAAGGTAGAGAGTTGTGGTACATCTGTATCCCCCAGCCTTTCATGAAAATGGCAGGAGATGATTCAGATCAGAGGAGGTTTTGTTTTCTGGTTTCTGGGATTTAGGAAGTTGCAGTCAGGAATTTATATTGCTGCTGTTACCAGCGGTATAATCAGTGGACTATATGGTAGAGTAAGTGAGCCTAAAGGAGGAAAGCAGTGGAAAGTATCATATAGATTCCCTAAAAACTTAGCCATGATATATACCAAGTGCACGTCAGCTCTTAACACGCTGTTCCGGAGCAGGGGCCATTGTGGCGCAGGTCGCAGAGCTCTAGCGCTCGCTGGGTCCCTGAGCTCGCTCGCTGCCACTCACTGTCTCTTTTCTTTGTGCAGGACGGAGGATGCAGCTGCCCAGGAGATGTCGCCAAAGCGTTTGGTAAGGACCGTGTGTTGTAACACCCACTTCACCCCGTGTGTCTCCAGCACCTCTGTCAGCAGGGATGCAGGAGTCAGTTTGGCCCTGAATGTGTATTCCATTAGCAGTAGGTTACATTCGTCCCTGCGGGTGACTCGGGTGAAATTAATGTATCAGATTTGAATTTGGTCTTTGGACCAGACAGTCCAACTTCTGCAGTGCAAAACGGAAGAGTGGGCGAAGCGCTGTTTAGAAATTATCTGCAAGGTCTGTACGAGATACAGCCACTGGGACAGTAATACAAAGAAAACTGATAAGGGCTGCTTCTGAGTAGGGTTCAAAGATGCCTGTAACATTGCCAGATCTGGCTGACTTGAGCCTTGAGTAGAGGAAGAGCTGGTGGAATGCATGTTGGACAGAAGAACAAAACAAAAAGGCAGGCCAGATCCCTGGAGATGTTCTTGGGATCAGCTGTCCACTTGAAGAGATGAGATTTTATTTATACTGTATCCCCTAGAGCTAGGCAGATGTCTAAAACATCTAAGTTAATAATTAACAGATTTTGCTTTCATGCCAGTAGTTTCAGTGAATTGCACTGGTGAATCTTGGTGATAGAATAGAGAATTTAATATGTGAGTGTTGTTTGCTGGGCATGAAAGTTACATTGTTTGGGGGGGTCAAACTCGTGATTGTCACTTAGCCATAACCGTGTTACAGCAACATGTGGGAACCAGGCGCTAAACACATAGTCAACAGAACATTTAAAGGCACTGCCCCAAAATGCCAGACTCTTTGGAGACATCACAGTGGGGTAATACCTGGAATACAGTGGGACAGCAGAGTCCCTCACTGGGATTTCAGGGTGGTATGATAACAAGAGATAGCACCTTCTGATACAGCATGTCTGCTTTGCAGGAAGCTTTGCAAGTATGGAAAGTAGAGGCAGGCCTAAATGCAGATTACAGACCTGCCAAGAAAAATTCTGGACCTCCTGGAAAGGTTGAAACCAAAATCTGTCTTCTAAGTTTGCAGACAGCTCCTGTTTTGAGACAGGTCAGATGACAGGCAAGACTTAATTGGAGAATTTTAAGCACAGCTGTGGAGTGATAGCTACCAGCAAGGAATGTGCTTGGTCAGAGGATTTGACATCACCCTTGTGTTACCCAGTGGTGATGTGATGTGGGGAACAGATACTTCCAGTTGGGTGATTCCAGCAGAGCTGAACAACAGCATCCACCCCAACCTCTCCTCAGTCCAGCCCACTCTGACATGCTACAGTGAGGTCTTTGTTCTGCCTGGCTTTCTCTGGCTCCACAGCTCACCAGGTTCTTCCTGGTGTGTTGGTGCTGGGAGCTTGTGAACTGAGACTGTGACCTTGCTCCATTCCTAGCTGCCTGCACAGAAACCTGACCTATGGAAAAGGTCTTTCTTCAATAAGAGCATTTCCAGAAGTTAGAACAACAGGAAGCAACTTGGAAGTGTTTCAAATGTTTTTCTTTGTGGTGTTTATAACAAGTCCAAAGGATCCATGTAATCTCTTTGGGCTAACTGAACCTAAGCCTGCTTGAAACCTGTGAAAGGGCAGATTCTGGCTTACTGATTTTCAGGAGGTGCTGGGATTCACAGTGGTGCATGTTTGAAGGCTACCATGAATTGTCCCTTGGACAGAGGAGCATCAGAAAGCTAAGATTATACAGGCAGTTGTTGTGCTCTTGATAGTAGACCAGAGAGATCAGTCTGACTGTTTATCACAGGTGCAGGGTTGGAACTGATTGAGATGACCCTGAGGCAATAAACTGACTGTATCTGGTTATATACAGCTGAAGTAGACATACTGTGGACATGTTACTAGCTGGAGCCAGGTGTGCATTTGTCAAAGGTGTGCGGCAAAATAAGCTTTGTTATTACTGTCAGTGTTTATTGAATGCTGTTGAGGCGATTGGCTATGTGAGTCTCGTAGAAGGTAGCTGCCATGCCCAGCATTTACAAGCCAAAGCCTTGATAGTGAATTGTCTGCGCTTACCAAGAGCCTCCCAGGGGGAGGAGCTGCATAAATATATTGGATAACAAAGACAGGATGATAAAACACAGAGAGGCACCGTTTCACCTAGGGACAAGGGCCTGGACAAAGCATGGGCAAGAGACCCGAAGAGGACTTTTGGTTAAAGTGATTATGCTATCTCTTTCTGGTGGATCGTTGTAAAATCTTCATGAAACGGGATGATACACTATAAAGCAGCGACAAAGCAACCATTTGAATCATGGGAAGTGTGAAGGGGTCCCAAATGTGAAGACTAGCATTGACAAATGGCTAAAAATGTGAGTGGAGGAGGCAAGTTCATGGAAACAGGAGGAATAGAGTGGACTGAGTGCAAGTGGAGAATTGTGAAGAACTACGAAGTGGATGTTGAGAAGCTTTACAAGTGGAAGGTGATACCATTGACTGGTGTCAGGAATCAGAGGCAAATTGGACATTTTGAAAGAGGGAGAACAAGGTAGAAGCCTGTTTAAAAAGGCAAGGCACAGGGAAGCACTGAAGGTGAGGGACAGAGTTGCTGGGAGTAACAGATGCTTTTAGGGAGACTGCTGGAATTCTGGACTTCTGAATGGGAACATAGTATGGATTAGGTAAACTGAAGATGTCCCTGCCTTCAGGGTATTAGAGATGATAATGGAAAAGATATAGGTTAATAGGAAAGAAAAGAGCTGTTTTGATGCAGGAATGAGAAAAAGCATGAAAGAACTTTATGTTGGGCTCTCAGATGGTTCATATAACTGTACCCTTGGAAAGGCTGATAACATGAATACATTTCTCAGAATGCCCCAGGGAGGCACTACTGTCTCCTTTTTTAATCATGAAAAGTCAAGGCACAGAAATACTAAGTTCAGTTGCCTGAGGTCACATATATTTTTGTGACAGAGCCAGGAAAGAATGTGCCTTTTGAATCCTATGCCAGCATCTTTAACACATTACTGCTGTTCCTTACAGAAGTGGTGAGAAGAGATGCAGGAGCAGGGAGGGAAAAGGAAGAAAAACTGATGTGGAAAAGTCAACTGGGGACATGCTAGTTGCAAATTATGCAGATCACCACTGACTGGCTTTTTTTCCTGTTTATGGTAGCTGTGTGTGTATACCTGCTGTTGCAAAGGCTTGCTGGCTCAGTTGGAGCGCAGGTGAATGTTGATTCCAGGGCCAGCTCTGGTCTAGGAAAACTTGCACTGCATCTACCTGGAGGGCTGCCCAGCCTACAAATTCAGGCTGACTCCAGCTGAATTCATGCAGAGCCAATCTGGTTATCAGTAACTTTTATAATCAGGCATAAAAAAGACATCCGAGGGACTCTATCTGGATCCAGCAGAACTGTGTCAGTGCTGCAAGTTTGGGCTGGCATCAGCACTTGTATTCTGTAATGGCTTGAAATAGGAGGCACGGTGAAACATGAATGAGCAAAATCAGCCCAGATACAGCACAGGCCTCAAGGGGGAACTCATGCAATAAAGTGGCATTGTGTAGAAACAGGACGAGTCTAGCAAACTCTGGGTGAGCTAGTGGGATGCTTGTGTGCAATGTACTCCGTCACATCCTGTATTATCTAGGAGGTTGTTGCCAGGTATTCCCAGTCCCCCACAACCTAAAATAATAACACATTGTCAATCTGTCCTTGAAAGCAAAAGAATGCAGATGGATATTGCAAATATCACCAGTGCTTCTGCTGGTTATACAAAAAACCATGCATAAGCTAAGAAAGGCCATGCTAGAAACTACTACAGCGTCCTGGTGGGATATTAGCTGGTAGAAAAGTAGTGGAACAGACTTGAAAATTTCAGATATCTTTGCAACACTGAAGCATAATGGAAGGTTCTGGAGAGCATTGGAAAAGTATATTTAGTATGGGCTTGTCATTTCTGGAGTGGCAGGGCAGCAAGCATGTGTTGTTTGTTTAGACGTGCTGCATCTGCTGTAACACAGCTCCTCTCTTCTGGAAGAGCTTGATGAATTATGTTGTAGTTTGCAAAAGTTACTCAAGTTGGATGAGTTTCAATCCTGTAATTCAAACATATTTGCTTTCCTCCCAAAATATGCAGTCAAAAGAAAAATAATAAATAGATACTGACGTGCACAGGAACCAAAATTCTGTAATTCTGAAGTGTAGATTTCACGTGACTTTTGCATTAATAATTCGGAGGCTTTGAGACCCACATCCAGAGATGGCACTAGAATTGGGGATCAGGGATAGTACTGACAAGGCAGAGTCCAGAATGTCCTTTGGCAGGCTCTTGACTTCTTTAAACGCCCTCTTTGAAACCCTGACGTCAAATCTGTCCCTCCTTCCTGATGTTGTTTTCTTCCACCCACGAAGAAGACATAAACTAGATTTTTTTATAAAGATGAAGCAAGGTTGTGCCAGGTAGAAACAGGAATTTGCCCCCAGTAATTAAGAACGTCTTAAAGGATGAGTGTTCCCTTTGGTTTTGGCAGGTTGATAGTACTACAGACACGAGTCAAACTGAGGCTTTAAAACTCAGCCATCTGAAATAAGAGAACTGAGGAGAAATCTGCCAGGTAGCTGGCATGATGGGACACCTGAATGGGTGCCTAGCTATAAATATTGCTTGTGATGTGCTCAGCAGTTTTGTACAACCCTCATTTTTAATATCCCTTTACTATGGACACAGTGTTCCTTTCAAGCAACAGCTAGGCAAAGGGAGGTGAGGTCAGCAGAGCAGCTGGATGCTCCCCTCCCAGGCATTGCTCCCAGGTCTGCTCTTTGGCAAGAGGGTCAGGGGTGGGGAGCTGGCACACTTCACAGTTGTCATGTGTTCTGAGATGAAAATATTCCTAAATTCAGGTTTGGCAGAAGCTGAGCAGATTTTCTTGTGATTTCACCTACTTTTCAGGTTTCAAGGTCTGGTGCTATTGGTTGGATAGTAACAGAGATCAGAGCACATCCTAATGCCAGACTTATCTAGCCTGGGATCTCCCCAGAGTTCGGACGTGTTCTTAACAGGGTGGATTTAGTTCAGGCTCATCTGCTTTCTATGAAGTGAGTTTTATAGCTCTGTTCTTTTGCCAGTTCTGGGAAGAAGCTGAGCAGAGGGGAGACCTGTTCTGACACATACATGCTGAAGAAGCAGAGGTTACAAACAGGAAAATGCTTTGTTTCAGGGATGGGTCACCACAGGCTCATAAAAGACTAAAAGACAAACTTATCCAAGCAAGACTAGATATGCCCGAGTATCACAGGAGGCACTGCTGGTGGAATAGTTCCAGCCCAGCTGGAAATATTGGAAATCACAGTAGAAAACCAAGAGTGATTCCGAAAACCTTCTTCCTGATCTTATTCCCAGTGGAACCAATTTAATGATTTACAAAGCCAGAGGAGATAGACAGACTGAACAGTTATGATTGAGTATTCAGAGTTGTTACTCAGTATCTGGAACATATTTAGCAGTTGTAGCTATGGGTAAGACCTCCTTTGTGGTGCATGCTGAGAACCACAGAACCAGAGGTGGTGGTCCATGGCCCAGAGTTTTTAAACAGGAACCAAATGAAGACCCATTCAGATCTCTTTGACAAGGGATCGTCCAGAACTACACTGAACACATATGGCTGGTGGACTTGAAAAATCCATAATTTCAGTAAACAAAAATCTGCTTGTTTTATGTCATTATTGGGAGGAGTACATTACATTCATGAATATGCCTTCCTTCAGGGTACATTCCCACTCACAGCTTGTGGCCTCAAAGGTTCTTGAAGTAGGAACCATCCTCTTCTCTGTACAGCATTGAGCTCAACAAATCCCAGCCCTATGTTTAGGACTTCTGCGACTGCAGCCACAGTAATATTTAGTAAGGAACTGTGCTCAGATACTATAATGAAGTAAAGACTTAAAACTGAATTTGAAAATACAGAGTGTGAGGTGGAGTAGAATTATCTGTATCTTTGTCATCACAACAGAAAAGGACTTTTCCCATTTAAAATACCAGAAAAATTCAATTCACCATATGTCAGTTCTTCAGTAAAGCTTTTCTTCCAAGTTCCCTGTGTCTGTTACAGGAGGGGACTCTGTACCAAGCTACTTAGTGCTGGCTATTGTTTTTGGAGATCACTGTGTTCAGTTTGGAGATCACTTTCAGTTTGGAGATCACCATGTCTTTCACCCTCTTCCTTCCCTGCTTTCTTATGTGTTGCTTTGCTGATCACAGGAGCCGGTGCTGACTTTGTCATGCTTGGAGGAATGTTTGCTGGCCATGACCAGTGTGCTGGAGAGATTATGGAAAGGAATGGCAAGAAGGTGAAACTGTTCTATGGAATGAGCTCTGATACAGCCATGAAGAAGCATGCAGGAGGGGTTGCTGAATACAGGTATGAATTCCACACAGGAGCAATTGCAGTGAGCCATCCATGCAGGAACTTCTGGAGCAGAATTGTGCATTGGGCAACTGTTGGAAACAGGCCCATACCTCTACTCCCATTCAAGAAGCTATTGCCTACACTTATGACAGTAGATCTGAGGGAGGGATGCCATCAAGAGGGATACAGGGAGAAAGAGCTGGGGGTGGCTAGCTGAGAGCAGCGATGTTCGCTCCTTTGCAGCCAGTGTGCTGTTCTGTCACTTCAGCACTACCTGCGTGCTTGGGGAACTCATTAGGCACTGTTCTGACTTACAGGTCTCTCGGCATGTGTATGAACTAAATGCTGGAACATGGCATACCGGGCTGCAGTTTCTACCCCTCTGCTTCTCCAGGTTGGGTGTCCTGTTGGTGTATGAGTTCCCAGCTAGCCCACATGCCCATGTGCTCCCTATGGTGAGCAGAAAGTGGGTGCCTGGTGAATTGTCGATCTTAGGCAGCACAAGCCTGCTGTACAGTTTTCCCACCCCTTTTTGGGTAAGAGAGCACCAGAGTAGCCTCAAGTCATGCAACATGCAGGAGCTTGGGTTTTGAGTTTAAATCCTCAGGGGAGAGGAAAGGAAGACCGGCTTTGCAAAGGAATCTGTTGTCCATTGCTATTTGACTCTGGAAAGCACTGAGAGTTTTGAGTCTTTGAAAAACTAAATGATACCAGAAAACCTCTGTGTCTTTTCTCTTATGAGTGGCAGCTTTAGTCACTGCCCTCAGACAACATGGTTCTTACATACTTCGTTAGAGAATGTTTCCTGTCTTACTGCATACACTGGTTTATTGAGGGGTCCCTTTTGATTCTTCTCTGCTGGCGTAGATTCAGGCTGTGGTCCCATCTGGTAAGCTGCTGTTTGCAAGAGTCTCAGAGACAGTGACCTTACCTGCTGTTCCAGCCAGACACTCAGGATTGATGGGTTTTGTTGGCCTCGTCTGCTGCAACTACTCCAGCATACAGGTTTTTCCCAACGTGTCCAGCTGCTACTACGGGTAAGAGTTGCAGCACTGTGAAGGTGACAGCACAGAATACAAAGCAGAATGAGATCCACAAAACAAAACAGAATTCATGCTGTCAGAGAGACGAGCTGATAGGACCACAGCAATCCCAGATATCACGCTACATAGAAAGCTCTTTGATCCCACCTCCTGTTCTCCGCCCTGACATCGGCTCCTGTAGTGGTTTTTTACAATAAAATTGTACACTAGTTCACCTAGCACTTTGCAAAGTGGTAAGGCACAGCCTCCTTCAGAGCATTTACACCTGTCTCCTTTGGCCTAAATCACAGTCATAGAATCATTTGGGTTAGAAAACACCTTTAAAGGTCATCTAGTCCAACCACCCTGCAATGAGCAGGGACATGTTCAACTAGATCAGGTTGCTCAGAACCCTGTCCAACTTGGCTTTGGATGTTTTCAGGGATAGGGCATCCACCATGTCTCTGGGCAACCTGTTCAGTGTTTTTGCTTTCAAGCACAGCTGTTTATTTGCAGAAGAACTGCACAAGAGGCCCTCTGCATCTGAGACAAGCTGAAATTATGCACCAGAAAGATGTGCTTGCATGCCTCTGAGCTTTGGTTCTCTCTGGGTTCATATGCCACTTCCCAGAAGCAGTGTAGAGTTTTGGGCTCTTTATTTTTTTTTTGTCCCCCAGCAAATCAGCTTGTCATCACAGCTTCTGAACAAATGGTCTGAGTGGACAGCACTAGTAAGTATCTCATAATTTAAAAGTGGCAGCTGCAGTTACACAGTGATACTGGCAGCCTTTGAATGATAATTTCCTGAACTTTGCTACCATGTGCTTCAGTCAGCTGGAATGTGGGGAAAGGCCTGATGCAGGAAAGGCCTGATGCTGGTCAGGTATGTAGTTAACAGCAGCTCTCTGAGAGATCACAGAGCAGCCCAAGCATGCTGCACAGTCATGTAAGGCCTGAATTCCACAGAGCTAGTGAAAGTTGCAGGAAAGGTTTGAGAAAGCTGGCTGTACCATGGGGCCAAAGGACTAAGGCTCCCCCTAGTTGGGTGTGTATGTGATCCCACAACAAAATTCATTGCCAGTAGAAGAACTTATTGACACTGGTCCCCCTTAAAAATGAGATAAAGTGCAAGTATTCTGTCTTATAGGAGTAAGGGATGTACAGAAATGCACTGTATTTGGCTCAGTCTAGACAGACCCTTTGAATTCATTATAGGCAGTACTATACAGATTCTGCTTGATCCACGGCTGTATTTTGATTTGCATCCTTGATTTGACAGTCCCTGGGGGTCAAGTTCTGAAACCTTCAAACCTTCTCAGCAACAATGGAGAAGGAGCACAATCTGAAATGTTTCGTCCCTGGTTTTTTTGGTTGGTTGTTTTTTTTTTTAACTGCATTTTTGTACCAGCACTAGGTAACATAGAGTCTCAGAGTCTACTGCTAGCAGCAACAACTCCAAACACTAAATCTGTAAACCCTGTAACCCCTGTTAACTGTGAAGGTGACAATTCTTTTCTTCGTGTTGCAGCCACCACACAGAGCTGGCTACCCATACTAGCCTTGGTTTCGGTCTTACTTGGCTTGTTCCCAGCATGAGTGTCACCGTGGTTTAAAAATAGCAGCTGTTAGTTATCCAGCATTGTAAATGTGCTGGGCATTGAAGGGGTGATTTGAAACAGTGCAACGCTTTCCTTTGAATTGCTCTTACAGTAAAAGTTACAGGAAGTTTAGTCACTTACTAGTTTAACTTGTGGAAAACCCAAATCAGAAGGGTTCTTAAGTCAGCATTTTAAATGCTGGATACCCCAGACTTGACCCAAACAGGTCAAGTCAGTGATGCTTCTTTATATGCATTTAAAAAGCCCAGCTGTAAATCTGTATCAGTGACCCAGATAAGCTGTTTTGTCTTTTAAAGAGCCTGAGCACTCACAGTGTTTGATTCAAGCAGTGGGAAGCTCAGTGTGCTCAGCCCCCTGCAGAATCAGACTACCTGTCACTTAACTTAATCTTCTCAAAATTACACATGCTGACTGGAGAACCTGAGCCCGCAGCACACTGTTACATTAAAATTGACAGGTAGGGTGAGGTGACTGTAACAGGGAATAAAGTCATGAGAGTAATTGTTTTTGTAATGAATATGTCAGCTGACCCTATATAATTTTGTATGAAGTCTGTGTACCCAGTTTCATTGCTTTTATGTCATTTACCTCTTGGTTTATTTTTACATTTTTGCCTCCTTCCCTGAGGAATATGGATCAGAGCTGGGGATTTCTGAAAGGCAATTTTTATATTTCTTTTATGGGAGAAGAGAAGGAAGGCAGGCAGGGACTGAGACTGCATGCAGTATTGTTCAGTTAGAGCCAATTTGCTTTTGTTAACCCTTTTGAGATTTCACAGGTTTTCTGTGAATGATGCAGTTTTATGGCGGTCACTCAGCAATTTACAGCTGCTACTAAGCTGGGTTTGGGCACTTTATATTAACTGCAGGGTGAAACTTGGGCCACAGAGACAGAACAGCACCAGCAGCTGGCTGCTACTTACCATCTTATTCTGTATCATGAATGATAGCCTGGAAGACCTGCTCCCAATTCCTGCATTTATTTAATGCCCCACTCATAAGGTTGCAGGGCAGCCTGACCCCTTTATTCTGACACGTTTTGCTGGGCTGAGTGGGCACCATCACATGTGCTTTATCCCATCCACCCTGCCAGGATTCCCACCCACCACGCGCATCCCTCCATGCCAGCAGCAGCCTTGAGCTGGCCAGGAGGCGCATCACAGACTGGACCCTGTGGAAAAAGTCTGAAGCAAATAGCTCTCCCTTTCTATTCACTATTCAGTGGCTGACAGGACAGTCTCTGCTGAGAGCATCTGAGCACACCTTTCCCAGCCACTGGGACCCTCAATTGCTGTCTCCTCCTTGCTTTCTGAGAAGGGGTTAGTTTTGGGTCATAACTCTGGGAGACATGTCAAAGCTGCAAAACCCTCAGTAGTTCCTGCTGACTTTCTTATGCAGCTCTCTGCTCACCACTTGCCAACCAATGCCCAGCCAGTTCCTGAGCAGTGGCCCCAGCCAGCTTTCTCCCTAGTTCATATACTAAGCATATTGCCATATTGTATGGAGTATCCCCTTGGCCACCTTGGATGAACTGTCTCAGCTGTGTCTCCTCCCAGCTTCTTGTGGCTCCCAGCCTATTTGCTGGTGGTGTGGTGTGAGGAAAAGTCCTTAACTTAGAATAAGCACTGCTTAGCTACAACTAAAACGTCGGTGTGTTATCACTATATTGTCATCCTAAATCCAGAACACAGCACTGTACCAGCTACTAGAAAGAAAATAATCTCTATCACAGCAGAAGCCAGGACATCCACGCATGGCCTGTGTGTAGGCATTTGTTGCTGGCAAAATAGTTTTAATTTGGGATTTTCTAGTTTTTTTTCATTTAATCCCAGCTAACTCAAATTTCTAATCGCTGATGAGTAAATAAGCAAACTGGTAAGTAAACAACTTTCCTTCCCGTTTTTCAGACTTCATTTAGGCCAGACTTGTCTCTTCACCCTGCCATGTCTCGCCTCCCCTTACTTTTGCCACAGGCCACGCTCAGTCTCAGCTCCTTCAGTGAGAAAAGGGGTGGCACAGGACATTGTGGTCCTGTGTGTAATGGTTTCTATCCACTACTCCCCTTTTTTGTACCTGCCCCACTGTGAGTTGTCTGCAGGCCACAGTCCTTTGGCATGGGTCACCCAGGGACCACAGTCCCATCGGGAGTGCACACCTTTGGAATGGAGCACCTCCTTTCGAGAGTGCATCTCCAGCTGCATGTCTCCTCAGGTGTGTCCAGCTGTGTCTCCTCCCCCAGTGGCTACTCGTGTTTCTTAAATACACTTGAGCAGAGATGTCGTGTCTCACGTCCTCCCCTGACTGGCAGAAAGTTTAATGGCGTGCACCATTTTCGGAGCCAGGTGGCACCGTCTCAGTGACTGGCATGATGGAGGCCATGGCCTTCTCCCGCACCAGCAGCCCTTGTCGTCTGAACTGTGTATGCCCAACACAACACCCATGTGGATGCTAGTGTAAATTAACTGGGTGCTCGTGCATACTGGGCACTCGTGCATGTACTAACAGGGTGTTTGGGTATAAATAATTTGGGCATGCATGCATGAACTACTTGGATGCTTATGCAAAAATTATTGGGCATTCATGCATAAATTAATTGGGCACTCATGCATTAATTTATTCAGTGCTCATGCGTGAACTAATTTGGCACTCACACAAGAACATAGCAAGCCCAGCAATTTATGGCCTACACATCACTCCTCACCTCTGCAAGGCACATATCAAAGAACTCTTAGAATGTTAATCCAATATGAACTCTTTCAACATCATCACAGTCTTAGTGTACATCAGTTATAAACTCCACTCTTCCTTCCTTTGGATCTGATAGTAGGGATTAATACTGTAGCAGCACACTTACTAAAATGTCTCTCCTCCATCCTGACCAGTGTGCTAGAGAGATTAACATCACAGTTTGGTTATATATCTGTATATATACAGACCACATCCCTGGACCAGACTTCAGCAGTTAATAGTGCAACAGTGTGTGCATACGCATGGTAAAATTCCACCCACTCTTCCCTGGGAACCAGATGAGGGACTCATCAGCTCAGTCTGGGCAACATGTTATGTGTTACAAAGTCCTTTCCTCTGGGGACTGGAGTAATTAACAGTAATTCTGTTAATGCTAACACAGTTTGAATATATATTCATCACAAACTTCACCCGCTCATCCCTGTGGACAAGACTATGGAGGTTAATATGGCACATGCTGATTCCAACCTTCTCACTTTTTTTTCTGCAAAATACATTATCCAGCAAACTCCAATAGTTCTAATATATACCGATTATAAACTCCACCCATCACCCCTGCGGAGCTCTATCAGGGTCAGTGTTTCATCATAATCTGAATACTTGCTAACAAGTGTTAGGACTTAACTCTTCAAAACAGCCAATCAAGAACATAATGGGTGTTCAGGTTATTTACTGTGCTTAGCATAGAGAAGCAGACAATTAAGAGTGTACAAGCAAAAATTACCATCACTATTGAAGGTACCAATAGGGTCCTGAGCTCAGTAGCTATAGGGCTTCATTTACATTCAGAATGGGGAGGGGGAGTGAACAGTGTTGATATGCAAGCACCATAGGCATTTCCCCATTTGGGGAGAAAGGTAACACACCAAATGGCTTTGCTCTCGGGGCTTTCCTCCACAGCTGTAACAACATTAACTGAGTTATGACCTTTTTGCTGCGCTTGCAGTTACTTAACTCACAGCTCTGGATTTCTGCCCCACTTCTATCCTATACACCTCCTTTTCTTGCTGGAACATCTGTTATTCCCAGCATGTAGGGTGGGAGCACTGAGATTTTTCAGTCCTCTATGACACTTTTTTTTTCAAGGATGAACATAAAACCGGACTCTGAGCATTTCCTGTGGAGCTAATCTGACATCTCTCTTCTAGCATGCTTCCCCCAGCAGAGTATCTGTAGGTTGCCCTTTGATCAACAGGACATCCCACTAACTCATCAGCTGATGCTAGAGGAGCAGTAGCAAGTGTTTAGCTGTCTGTATCATTAGGTGTTCACCACTTTTGTAGGTTTTAGTCTCCAAAGCCAAAAGTGGCATTCCACAAGCTCCATCTTCCTAACACCACCATAGCTACTGCAGGGATATCTCTCAGGAGTAGTGGCTGTAAATGTCCTGCATTGCTGTAATTTTGCACTGAGAAGAGGACTGCCAAATGTTCTCACTGTTGGGAGCAATGTTCCCATCTCTGCAGTAACTGAGGCTGCCTTTGTTTGCCATCAGCTCTCTGCTACCAAAACCCTGCAACTTATGCACCACAGGATGGTCAAGCATGAATTAAAAGGGCCCTCATGTTTGAATTTATGGGGCATTCATACATCAGTTAATTGGCCTCTCTTGTGTGAAATGAATGGGCAGTCATGCATGAATGCAGTAGACCCTGCACTTCTTGCCCAGTACAGCATGCAGAGCTCTTCAAATGGCAGGATCTGGTAGGTAGGATTTGCACTGGTTTCCCCAAATCCCAGACATGCACACTGTCTCTCAGAATCTCGCAGGAAACTCCCTGTAGCCTGAGCTGAACCTCCCAAATTCAACTGAAGAGGTGGGCATGGCCAAAACGCAAGAATGGTGGCACGACTACTTTTGTGTCATTTTGTGGGTCAGGCCTTTTCTGGCTTGGAGCTGAAAATAAAAGCCTGGGAACTCCCAGCAGCACAGGCCCTACAACACGTCCCTGAGCCCTGTGCAGTCTGTGAGAAGGCAGTGGTATGTCCGTCTTCCACTGGCTGCTTACTGCAGTGTTTATTTAAGAGTTTTCAAGAAGAAGTCAATTACTCATCAGATGTAAGGAGATTAATCATGGTTCTTTATTCACATGGCATATCAACACTTCTCTTTTATTGCCTCCCTAGGGCTGCGACCTCACATTTAAACTAACAGGATGAAATATAGCCAAGCTCACACTGAAGTACCTCCACATAGCCGCTGTTGCTATTGTTAATGATTCACAAATGGAGCCTCCAAACAGGCGTGCCCTTTCGCTCTTGCACTATCCCCTAGACAACTTGTTTAAGGAAGAAGTAAATAAAGGCACATTTACAACAATGACAGGTCCCTGCCATGATTTCTGCCTCCAATTTGTAGGGCAGAAGGAGAGCGTCCCCTTTTTTCTCCGCATTTGTCCCTTTCCAAAGCCTACATCTCCAGAGGAGCTGGTGTGCCATGCAGAACAAGCTTGCTTTAAAGCCTAGTGAGATCAGCTGCTGATTGGGAGTCTCTGCTGGAGGAGGAATTGCTGAGCATGAGGCTGGAGAAAGCTGGAGGAGAAGGAGTCAAAGTTATTTGCCTGATTCTTCCATCGTGTAACTCTTCAGATGTGCTTTTTGGGAACAGTGCAGTCAGTGCTGGCATGCACCAGTACTTGACAGTACTCACAGCACTGCTGTTTTTCTGGCCTTTTTGCCTGGCTCTGAATTATGCTAGATCACCGTTTAGCTTCAGGGGACAACTCTGCAGCAGGTTTCTGTAACAGGTTTCCCATTCCATCTCTGTGGGCCCTGGAGAACAGGACTGATAGAAGACAGCCAGAGCATTTCCATCTGTGTCTAATAAGTGATGTGGGACAGAGCCCAGGGGCTGTGAAGCCTCTGTAGAGCCATGCTGAGTGGTGCCTGCTGAGAACCAGCTCCAGCGTGTCCCTAAGTGGCCTGAGCCTGGCCATTCCTTACACTTTAAAGCTTGCAGCTCTCACAGTCAAAATTATCTTTAAATAAAGCTGGAAGTTTCACTTGCTTGTAGGCAGATGGTAGAGGTGAGGAAGGGGCAGATCTGTAAATAAACTCTTGGGATGTTGGAGCATCTACAAGATCTGTCTGCTTCTTGTTCCCAGTGTTGGTGATGAGTGGAGCTGAGGCATTTCAGTGCTTGAGAGCACCAAGCAGCAACAGGCAAACAAGCAGCAAAGCTGGGGGCACGTTTGTAAACTGTAGCTTGCAGAGTATTAATCTCCACATTGCTCCAGTAAACACAGTGTTGTGTTTTGCATCCAGATATAAATGCAGTAACCGATCTCTTCTCCAGGGCTTCGGAGGGCAGAACTGTGGAGGTACCATACAGAGGGGATGTGGAAAACACCATCCTGGACATCCTCGGGGGGCTGCGCTCCACCTGCACCTACGTGGGAGCTGCCAAACTCAAGGAACTGAGCAGGAGAACAACGTTTATCCGGGTCACCCAGCAGCACAGCCAGGTCTTCTCTTAGCCTAGGACTACGGGGCTGGAGAGAGGGGTGAGGGAAAGGAGCAGGAAGGGCTGCTGTTTTCCTTTGCTTTCTCCTCCATGTTGTGTTAGTGGCAAACTTTCCTCTCTCTCAGAATGACAGTGTCATAGCCATTGGAGAGGCTATGGCTGGGATTTGGAAGGGGAAGGGCATGCTATTAACACAGTGCCATTGGTTTAAAATGCAATAGCCTCATCTTTTATTGTTGTGCCTATCTTATTTTTTAATCAACGTTTCTTTACCTGTTTTTTTTCCCCTCTGATAAATAGCTGATGAAACCTCAATTAACAAGGAATTGGCTTGTACAAACGTGGCTGTTAATGCTCGCAGACATTCACACATTCCCTTTTTTAAGACTGACCTGTCAGCTACCACCACTTATGGCAGTGCACCCTCGAAAAACTGTAGGCTGAGAGAGAAAAAGATGCAAGTAATTGCATGGAGAAATAAAAAAATCACATTCTGTTAATCTTTGTTCTGCCCAAAGAGTGGGTGTTAGTGGCACAGCTGCCAGCCTGCAGAGTGTCAGAGGTGGATGAGGCCTGGCTACTGGTGGCTTCTTAATGTGATGGTAAAAATGCCAGATCTCTTTTCCTTCTCAGTTCACAGGGCTAACATTGCTATTCTTACTTAAATCTCCCTATTCAATGGACTTGCCTCTTCAGAGAAGCTGGCACTGAATGTAGCAAACCCGTGCTGGCCCCCTGTCCCAATCTATGGAGATCATTCAGGAGAACACTTTTCAGAGCTTGCCTGCTTTTTCGTGAGTGCAGTTACTGAATTACCTGGGTTTCTGCTTTTACCTGCTCTCTGTGGACAGATTTTTAAGACATTAAAACTTGGCAACTGTAACCCACCAGGGGGGGTTTTCTTGCAGCCCTCCCTGTTTCCTTGCCTGTTCACATCCATTTAGCAAAGATGTACAAATGCTGTGCTGTGCATTGCCTGTGGCCAGGTGAAAGAGGCCAGAGAGATCAAATTGACTCTTGGTCATTTGGTACCACTCCTTTGCAGTCCTTGACACCATGGAAAGCAAAAGAGCTTTTGGCAGAACAGCTTGATTGATTGCAGGACACTGGCAGGCTGAAATGGAGTTAAAGCATTTGCTCCAAAGGCAGTAATGAATGTTTAAGACTCTGGGTAACACTTCAGTAAAGTGTAATAGCCTGCTCATTAATTGATAAATCACAATGAAGTTTCTTTGGAAATACATGTTGCATCCACATGAATACTACAGTATCTCGTTATGGTAAGTGATGTAAAAGTGAGCACCAATGAATTCATAATGCTTGACCACTTACCTTAAACTGCTGCTGAGATCATAATGTGGCTGATGTTACTTCAGTACTTCAGAGTCTTACTTTCCCCTCCTGTAGACATCTGTGGAAAGTGGCAGGCTTCTTTTGAAAAGCAAAAAAGTGATCTGTAGAAAAAGGAATAGCAAAGAGAAACTCTAGAATTAAACTCATACACTGGACTGCTCAAAAAGCCATGCACAAGGATTGGTACAATTGACCATGTCAAGGAGCAAATCTAGGCCACAAGCCGATCCCTGGTGATTTTGAACTGTGTTCTGCACATTAGAAAAAGCACAGAATATCTTCTAAATTGCCTGGTATTTTAAATGTCTTCCATTTAACATGTAGGACATCTTAGTTGTGGGATGACCCCTTCCTCTGCTTTGGAGGTGAATAAGGGCCTTGATGTGAGCACAGGTTATGCTTGTGCTGGCTTTAAGGACTGTTTGTCCTGCTCACGTATCATAAAGAAATGTGAATGCAGAAGAGAAGCAGGCCTTATGAATACAGGCCCTGATCTCTCTTCCCTCCAGCCTGGAAGCATCATGTTAAGAAGATGCCAGGCCTCTTTACCATAAACGCCGCCAGGAGCCACATACTGCTCTTACCTGCACTAAGCCCAGAGTACAGGCAGTATGACCTCTCTGCATCAGTACGGCTGTAAGACATCACTCTTCCTTTATTGGTGTGATGTAAAGGGTAGAGGGTACAAAAGACAGCAGACACCTCCTTCAGGAGTGGGGTTAGACCATCACGGTGCAGGCCTGACCACAGGTGGGTCTCCACACTTGTGCCTTCATATGTGGGAAGTGCAGCATTCTGCTGGTCTCATGCCCACTCTCACTAGCGCTTTTCTACTTTTTTTAGCTACATTTCTAAGTGGATTTAAGAAATACATATGCATATAAATATATATATATATATTTGTAAACATTTTTTTAAAAGATCATATGCACGCCAAACTGAGCAGGTTCATGACATGTCTTCAGAAGTTTCTTTTCCAAAGGGCAGGTGATGGGGGCAAGGGGAGGCTGCCTCTCCGTGGGGTGTGGTAGATGTGGAGCCCCTGCCCTGGGGCCACTCTTACACCTGCTTTCCTTCCCTTCCAGCACATACCTCTGATCAGTGACTAATAGGAAAGGAGAGGGATAGGCTAATTTTATGTTGTCCCCCAAATTCTTCAGGCTGTGAACAACATTGATGCCACAAATAGTGACTGATAAAAGTTTTGACTTGGGATATTTGGTTTTCTGAATAGCAGCTCTTACCATCCTTTTGATAAGCAGCACATTTTCTTTCATTTTCTTCTCTCTCCACAGTGAGCAGGAGAGAGAAATGGGCTGCAGAATGGCTGAGTTGGTGGCATGTCTGCATCTTGCCCAATTGTATGAGTTTTGTTCAGGGATAGCCCTCGACTATGTCAGCGCTCACCACTGACTCTGTACATGTCCAGCTCTCAGGCTGGAAAATGGGGGGAAAAAAAAAAAAGTGTCCTCCTTTAACACTCAGTTTTGTGCTGCAGTAGTTGCCCTTCATTTAGACCTGGGTCCTGTACCCTGCTCAAGCCCACTGCCACTCCCACAAGGAACTGAGGCAGAGGGATCTGGGAGCACACTATGCCTGGCAGGATGGTCCGAGCCAAGACCACGATCACTGACAAATGCCCTGTGCCATTTGTGGATCTACCTCACCTGCCCATCTAACTGGGTTCTTTGTTACTTGGTGTCCTTCTGTGGGAAATGAAATTTGTAAGCGCTTAATAATGCTTAATGTTGAGTGATTCTGCATAACCAGGTCCTCTCTAACCCTACCACCCCAAACCCATCCTGTCTAGAGGAATGCTGTGAGTGTGATAGCCTGTGCTGTAGGCCAGGGTCATACCTGCTTCCCCCAGTCAGGCAATGGTTGAGCACCCAAGAGCAGTGTTGAGGTATGGCCCACTGGCTCCACAGTGATTTAGTTTAACACACCAAAGACCTACAAGCAGGGATGCTGAAAAGGGCAACATTACATCATTAAAGCAATGCCTGCTGAGTATGTCCATCCTCTGGCGTCTTGAAATATAAAGAGACCTGTAACACCTCTGCTGCTCCCAGTCCTACTCTGGAGCTGCCTTGCTGCAGCATCTTTCGGAGGGTGGGCTCCTGCGAACACAACCTGGCTAATCACAACTGTCCTTGGGGAGGAAGGGCTTGGGAGGAAGGGCTTGGCACAGCAGCAGCCTTGCTCACACCTGAGTGACTGTGTGATGGCTGTGAGGAGTGCACATGTAGCCCTCCTTGTAGGTGTGGGGCCAGCTGTTAGAGAAGTGGGCCTTGAGCCAGCATCCTGACAGGTGCAAAACAAGCCACACAGGTCTCCATTCTGTGAAAGAAACACATGCCCATCTGCTCATTGGAACAGCCAGCCCCTATCAACCATGAGACAGGGGCTTTGATTGTGGCTTAGTGCAGCTTTCTTCTCCCTTAGGGCATAGGGTGCCTCTGCATTTGGGGGAGCTTTTCTCATACAAAATGTGCCTGTATCTTTCTTTCAGCTAGTCAGTAGTGGGGCTAGAAAGAATGGGGATAAGGAAGAAACAGCAGCTATTAGCCAAGCCCCACTGTGTCAGGACAGGGGCTCGCGGTTCTCAGTCAAGGACACAATAAGAGTTTGCAACCTTTTCTGAACGAAGCACTCCTACTTTATATCTATTGAACTCCACTCACTTGACAGACTTGCTGCTACAGCTTGCTGCCACAGCTTGCTGCCAGTGTATGTACAGTGTCTATCCATCACCTAGGGGATGGTGCTGTTTAGTTGCTAATACCAGTTTTATACCAGAAATTCTTTGTTGAAGGCAGGAGTGCTTTTGGAACCAGGGCCAGGTTTGGTCTTGTGATGAAGAGAGGGAAGGGGGCAAAAAGTAAAAAAAAAAAGCCAAGACCCCAGAACAGCAGTTTGCCTTACACAGCAGCCAGATCCAGCAGGTGGGAGAGGGTTGGCCCTTCCCTCTGGAATGGGAGCTGATGGGGACAGAGGGGCCAAAGCATGTCTCTGCTAGATGCTGGCACAGCTCCATACCCCTAAACAGACCATGGACCACCCCCCTGCAGCCTTGGCTTCACTTGTGGTCACCCAGATGTTTAAGCGAGCCCTCCCCAGCATTTCTTTGACACAATGTTTACTGGTTGAAGTTTTCATACATAAATAAGTAAATCAGAGTCCAAAAGTCCTTGGCGTTGCCTGCGATAACTGTGAAATGCTTCTGTATAATCTCCCAAAAAGAGCTGATGAGCATTCAGTGTTCCCCTGCCCTGCTTGGCCCTGCTGGGATGGCAGGGAGAGCACTGCCTCCCACCCCTCTGCTGCGACACCCACGCGTGCACTGCGCAATCATTCAAACCGTTCAGAAGTTGTAAATGGAAAGTTTTTGTTATGCAATAAAGAGCTTCACTCTAATGGTCTGCAGAGGGTTTTATGGCCATGGATGGGTGGGTACCTGCATGTTTTGGCATTGTCGTGAATAAACACTCTCAGATGCATTGCCAGGGCACAGGGTGAGGGAGGGAAATTAAATTGGGCAAATTATGTCCCTAGGAAAGCTCTCTCCCATTTAGTCATAACTCATAAAGACAAAACACACGTTTGCAATTGGCACTGTTATTTTATTAGTACGAGTATACTGAAACAATAAACTTGTACTGGTATACAGACAATTTCTTTAAAACAATTTTGTTCAAATTTTGAATCAAACATTGTTTTATTATAATAATGAAATAATTTCTACCTAGAAAACCTGCAAGCACCATCAAAGAAAGGGACCATAAAATTCAATAAACAGACGCGAGTGTATCCTACAAATAGACACACCACCATTAGAAAATAGAATATGAATTCTTCCATTTTTTTTAATATTTGTTTTAAAAAAGCTAGTGCAAGTACAATATTTTACACTGGAATTACAGAGAGTATGCACGCATATGGAAAAAAGTTCTCCTGTCACGATAAAAGCTCTTATCTATGTCTGTATGCACTTAAAATCTTCTCCTCTTTTCAATAAGGTGCAAAACGTTATTCCCTCCCTATTTCTCCTTTGTACTGGCCATGTCAGCTCAATTTCTCCCCAACACAAAGCTGCAATATCCCTTTTACTGGGCCTACGTTAGGAACTACACTGGAAGTGTGATTTGCAACAACCCTCGTTAGTAATACCAGACAATTTAAAAAAAAAAAAAAATTGCTTCAAAAACTACTGCTGTAGAATGGCTGGACCTGACTCCGGCACGGCCAAGTGCCACCACCAGCTGCTGCCGGGAGCGGTGACATAGCTAGTACAAAATGATTTTCAGTAGCTCACCCGAACTGAAAAAGGTTGGGAAATTCCCCCTCCCCCACTTTTGTAACACTGTGAAAAGAACAGTGTTCAACAAGTTAATATATTTAAAAAAAAAAAAAAAGGAGCAAATACATACATTAGTGAGTTTCAACATTAGCTGACTGTCGTGAAGAATTGTATCTATGCCTTAACAGATTAGTAATTTCGCGAAGCATCCAGCCCAGTGGCCAGGCTGAAGACACAGACTGAGCCACTCACAGCTGCCCCTGGCCCGTTTTTCCCTCAGCTGCCCAGATCCAAACCCGATGGACTGGGACAAGAATTCTGCAAAGCGTGTTCAAAGGAGAGTACCTGGGTCCTGGATTTTTAAAGCAAACACCAGGGTGGAATCCCCTCACCACCAGGTGGGAAGGGGCAGAAGCAGTGCTGCCCAAAGAAGCTGGTGGTCCCAACCCAGCTCCACCCTGGCCGAGGATCTGGGCCCTGAAGTTTCTGCCCATCAGCAATCCCACAGTACATCAACGACAGCTTCAACGAGTGACTTGCACTCGCTGCAAACAACACTTCCAATGCATACCTACTGCATGGTCAAGGGAAAGGGCACAGGAGCTTTAATTGCTCAAAATAGAAACTAACAGAAAATTAACAACCTTGGATGAAGCCTCCATAAAATCCTCAGTGGAAGACTTGAGTCCTTTCATCTAACAACAAGAAAAAAAACTACAGAAACCTTAGAGACTGTTATTGTATAAATACTACCTGTTGGCTGAATGCACTTCACCGTAACACAGCTGGGGCTGGTTTCTGAGCACCCAGTAGTCACTTGTACAGGGCGAGCATTTCTGCCCCATGTGCCTGCAGGAGCTGAAGCTTGGGTTACCTCCAGGGAGGGGGACGAGAGCAGCCTGAAACTTTGCCCGCTCTGCCCTGCCACCGGCTCCCAGATACCCAGCTCATTCTTTGGACAGGAAAAGGACCCCCTTCTCAGAAACTGCTTTAGGATCCTTTCCTTTTGGCTTCTGAAAAACATCAGTCTTGCCATCAGTCAAGACCATCACTGGAAACATGCTCTGTGTGACCAACTGCTCCCGGTGGCTCTGCCAGCAGTGGTGGGGGAGAGGGGCAGTGACAGGGGCTGGAAGGCCAGGTCGCCTTGGGTACCACTCTGCTGCTAGCGCTGGGCTAGGATCCCTTGTTACAAGCACTTCTCGTTCAGGGTTATACTCTTTGGATTTCATCTGGAACAGGAAGTGCTGAAAAAAACATGGAACAGCATCCCCAGAAAGAGGAAAAAAACGGGACCAAAAGGCTCCAGGTGGAAACTACACAGGTCGTGCTCAGCTAGCAACAGCTCTCCACCCAAGGGCTGGCCTGGCCATACCTGCTACGGGCACAGCCAAGGCCTCCCTCAAAACCAGCCTTGACCTCTGGGCTGCCAAGGGCTCCCTTGGCACAGGTGGAAGAGACTTAAAGCCAAAATACAACTGGAGAGTGAGACTCTAGTTTTGCACAGTAGCCACCCTTTGAAGTGCCTGGTAGCTGCACTCAAGAATTGCTGCTCCAAGGTGTATTTTCAGCACAGGAATAAACAGTGTGAAGCATTGACTCCATTCCCCAGAAATGGGACCCATGTAATACGAACAGAAAATTAAACACAGTTGTTCTTTAAGAGCCTTTGAAGTAATAATTCTTCCTGGCCAGAGCCAATACAAATCAGATCATCTAGACATGACATTTGCTATATACAAAAAACATGTAACTTTCAACCTTTCTCTGCTTTTGTATTTAAAAACTTTTTTTTTTTTACAAACAAGGTATGAAACTCACTGTTCAAACAGAGCCATCTCTTTTTCAAACACTGAATGAATCATTCCAACATTCATTTTTCTTTTGTGCAATTTTTTAAAACATTACCTGTACTCCTCAATGTGAGTGCTTCAAAAAAAGTTTCTATTTTTAATAAGCTTCTCAAATTAGGTTTACATCAAAAAATATTCCCACAAGGTATAGTGCTACAAGAAAAGATCCTATCAGTAAAGGTAACACATCTGAAGCGAGGTCGTCTATGTAAAAGAAATTGAACTCTGGAGTAGAGGTGTGCAACGTGTTTGGAATTTCCCTATGGACACAAAGCAAGGCTGTCCTCAGGACAGGGAATCAAGTGAACATGTAGGCATACACATAAAAAAAATGCACACATACTCTATTTGTGTGCAGAGAAAACACTTCTGCCTGGGGTTTGTGTGCATGTATGCATATCTGCATCAATAAATTCTCATTTTGCTATGTATTACAGGATTTGGGGGAGTGGGAGGGTTGGACAAACCAGAGGAAAGGAAATTACTGCCTCCACTCCGGTGGTGCATTCCCCTTGCTTTTCACATCAGCACTGGCCAGAGCCCCTAGTGGACTCTGCTGCTACCTGTGATGATGGGGAGGGAAGAAATGGAAACTGTTTGTACAAGTGCATGCCCCATTTTGCCATTTGTCGAGTTTCTGGGACAGCAGAAGTGTTTCAACAGGCCAAATCCTCTCCACCTGCCCGCGGCTTCTGCCCTGGTGAACCCTGAGATTTTTCCAGCTGCCTGATTAAGGTCAGGATCTGGCCCTGACTGACCCACGCTTCAATTTCACAAAGATTTATACATCTGCTTTACAGCAAGTCCTGAGCAGCCTTTGCTGGCCAGCCCAGACCTCCCACGAGCACAGGTGTAAGTGTTTGCAGAACTGGGTCCCAGGTCACGCAGAGCATTGCACCAAGAGCCCCCTTCTTTGAAATAACACTATTAGTGTTTAAAAATATTGACGATACAGGGGTTTTTTTCCTTTTTTTTTTAGCAGTTGCAAGAATTAAGAGAATTTCAGCATTTCCTTTTTACTACTGGCAACACACTGTAAAGTGATATAAATCTCTGCAGAGAGTGTATTTTCACGATAACCAACAGCTACAGTTCATGCTGAGCCTGCTGCTTTTGTATTGCAATCTAAGTGAGATCTACAAAGTTTAAACCATGAGATGAAGGAAATCCAAACTTGTCTGTAACATTGTACATCCCTACTCCGGAGCAGTAAAAGTGCTGCTTCTGGTCACATCAGTGTACCACACATACGCCAGCCCCATCCCTGAGTAAAAGGTGTGAAAAGTTTCTAAATGTTCCTTGATTGAAGGGAAACAAGAGTAGTGATGTCACTTCCCCATGCCGAGAAAATGACAGGAACGACAGGTTGAACGAAGCGACAGTGGGACGAAGGAATTAAAGGAATGAAAAAAGGAACATGTGTCCCTCCCCTCCTCCCAACATCTGTGTCTTCGAGGGAAAGCAAGCCTGAGGGCAACATACAAAATGGTAAAACAGGTCAACAGCGACTCCAATTCGGGTCTTGACCAGAGGACTCGAGGTAAGTGACATCAAACTCAAATTCCCCACAATGTGGCCTAGACCAACTGAAACAATGCCTAAGTTAAATGCTATAAGGAACAGTCACTTTATATATATAGATATATAGATAGATTAGATAGATAGATAAGACAGATAGATAATTTTTTTAGAAATCCCTATAAAGAGGTTCTTGTTTTATTTTTCTTTGCCCTGACTAATTTCTTGGTGATTGTATGCGTTTTGTTGTAAACTAAACAGGCCTGCTACAAAAAGATAGAAAAAAACAGACAAAAAGAAAACTACTGTTAGTTACTATTGCAAAGCGGCTGCCACGCAGAAGCAGAGGCTGAGCTTCCTCCTTCGGCTTCCCCTCAGCATTCCTTTGCTTGCCGGTGGTATTTTCCAGTTGCCCCAAGGATCGATGGCACTTCCTGGGCCTGGGGACTTGTTGCAAAGGATGCTCAGTGCCGGAGGGAGAGGCAAAGCCCTGCCTTGGAAAGAACTTGGGCCCCAGGAGGACTTTTCTCTCCCTGATGGGAGCCAGCTCTTGTCTGCGTGTTGTCCAGGCAGAGGGCGGCACTCGGCCGTATGGTTTAGTGCTACTCTCTGCCTGGATGTTATGTAGACATGAATATATCTCTTTTTTTTACTTTTTTTTTTCTTCCTGGATCTTTTTAAACATCAAACACAGAAAGGGTTCGTGTTTCTTGGGGCAAGGGATCTTTTACCCTTAGTATGTTTAG